TTACTTATTCAGTTTATTGATTTTATTTATGTCACAGTTTAATAATTTAATTTTCCATACAAAGTTTCTAATAGTTCACTTTTATTGAAATATATTAAGTCCACAATATTTCTTATCAAAATGTTTCAAAGATTCTTTCAACATACCTTTACATTAATTCTAATTCTTAATAGTTCTTATTTTTAATAAATAATTCCTATTAATTCTGTTCCTAACAATTCTTTAAAATTCCAATTCTCAATTCTGTGTTAATAACCCTAAAAATTTAAACTTAACTTATTTTTGTCTCTATATATAATATTCTCAAGTATTATTAATTTAAATAATTACAGTAAACTCCAACTGTATCGATATCGCTTGTAATGATATATCGGTTATATCGATACGTTTGTCTTGGTCCCTGCCAACTTCCATTATAACCTAACGGAAGCATCCTCGCATATATCGATATCGCATGTATCGATATTTCGGATATATCGATGTGGATTTTCAACCCCAACGCACATATATTACCTCTTAAAATGATAATTTGCTGCACAAGTTTGTTGTGGAAGAGCGGTCTCGGTCCGCTTGTTTTAATGCATAAATATCTGCTCGATTAAATACAATGACGCGGAACATGTTCTGTGCGTACGTAACTACCGTTTTGTTCCCAATACAGGTGAATTCATCTCAAAAAATAAAAGCATGGTTTTGTCCTTTTATTGTTTCCTTTCAATAACAATTTTCGTTGTAAATAATGTACATGTAGCTAAAACACTAGAGGTAAAAGGAACAAAATGTTTTGGAGGCAAACAAAGCAAGGACAGAATCACAGTGCTTATCGGCGCAAATATGGACGGTTCTGATAAACTTAAACTTTTGATAATCGGAAAATTCAAAAATCCTAGATGTTTTAAAAATGTTAAAAGTTTGCCGGTAGATTACGAAGCTAATCGTCGTGCTTGGATGAACTCAGAAATATTTATCAGTTGGGTGAAAAAACTTGACAAACGTATGACACGTGAGAAAAGATCTATTCTATTGTTTGTTGATAATTGCCCGGCCCATCCGAAAATCGAGGGATTAAAAGCTGTAAAACTGTTGTTTTTCCCACCTAACACTACATCTAAGTTACAGCCCTGTGATCAAGGGATTATCTTTTCATTCAAAAGGCATTACAGGTCACGTGTCCTTGACCATATTATTTCATGTCTAGACAAACATATCAAAACAGATTAACATTCTAAAAGCCATACAATGGTTTTATGCGGCATGGAAAGATGTAACACCGACGTGTATCCAGAATTGTTTTAGAAAGGCTGGATTTATGAATCAAGCACAGCATGAAATTAATGCGACCCCGCAGGGGCATGTTTCCGATTCGTCTGACACAGACGTGTACATATTACTTTGGGTTTATGTCAGTTTTGTGTTTATTTTGATGTGCAACTGATTTTTTATGCATTCAACATTGATATGCATAAAAAGAATAAAGTTTTGTCGTAAGTACATGATTGTCACATGTCTAGTATATAATGCTACTGCTTATACATGTTGAACGATGCAGTGCATCGTCAGTAAGCTACACACCGTACAGAAATTCGGTTGTAACGATATTCGGATATATCGATATAGTTTTGTATGTCCCCTGAATATCGTTATAAGCGGAGTTTACTGTAATTGATTAATTAACCAATGAAAATTGAAAAACATTGACCAATGAAAAATAAAAAAAATCATTAACCGATGAAAAATAGAAAAATATTACATGATTAATCTGGATAAACATTGTCTCATGTAAAAAAGGTATAAAACATATTTTGTATGTTACATAATTTCAATATTTTGTATGTTACATAATTTCCTTATAGCATTAATTGCTAAAAGCTACAAAATAAATAGCACCGAAACCAAAAGGTGTTGATAAGAGTCAGTAAAGATTTCTAAAAGTGAAATAATCTTCTTAAGTGTCAAAAAGACTGACATATGTGTCTTTCATATAGTTTTATTATAGTGATATTAATTTTAATTACTTAGATAAACTTTACTTAACATTATGCCTTACAGCTTTTCACACCTAAACAGTTAGATAATTAACCATATGATTTTGATTTCAAAACATTACATTAAATTTGAAAATAAAGCATTTATTATAAAACATTATAATAGATTATTTACACACTCACATTCATACAGGAAAATATTATTATTTGCATTTTCTTTTTGTCATTTTATAATTTTATTATTTATACATTAATATGTAATTATATACATAAAAAAAGTGGGGTCAAATATGCCCTTGGTGGTAGATGTACAATAAAAACCAAAATTAATATAACCACATGAGTGATATTCGTACCCAGAGTTAATTTTTTAGCTCACAGGGAGTCACCTGTCACAAAGTGACAGGGTGAGCTTTGTGACATGGTGAGCTTTTGTGATCGCTTTTCGTCCAGCGTCCGGCTGTAAACTTTTACTTTAAATGACATTTCCTCATAAACCACTAGGGCTGTAACGGTTTACCGGTACACCGATATATTGCGGTGCAGGATAAATAAATATTATACCGCGGTTCACATTTAGTTGCACCGGTTTTATTTAGTAATAACAGCGTTTCATAATTTTCTCTATAAATAAAAGAAAGTCTTCCATAATTTTCTTGATAAATTTTCTTGATAAATATTATGAAAATGTCCTATACACAAAAAAATATAACAACCGAAAGTAGGAAGCGTGTAAAAAAAACGGTGTTAGGGTAAAAAAATTACACGATGCATGGGTAGAAAAATGCTTGAATAAATCGGTGATTTACTATGGCAGACGGAAATAATTACGATCTGATATAAAATTTTAATTGCAAGGAAAAGAGAGACCCATGAAATTATTGAATACTAGATGCTGACAAAGTAGACATGTTAATTTTTCTAAAGAAAAACGCAGATAAATTGCCACTCTCACTCAATCCCTGTGATCTATTCCGAGTCTGAAACTGTGTTAAGAAAATCATTAGGATATAGTTTAGATTGTTAGTTACTTAATGAAAAGTGTTTAAAGTTTTATATTTCTGTTAAGTTACTGACAGTTGATGCTTCCATAGTTGAAACAGTTAAAAATTGTTAAAGAAAAATATCCAATAATTCTGTTTTGCGAGAGACATAGATATATAGATATATATAATATTTGTTGAAATAATATACAAGTCTCTTTTTCTGAATTATTTCCCAGTACCTAAGATAAATAACAATACGTATTGCAATATATTGCAATACGGATGTGGCGTATTGCAATATATTGCAATGCGCTTTTTACCGTATTGTTACAGCCCTATAAACCACTAAGCTAATATATCTAAACTTCACAGGAATATTCCTTTGGTGGTCACCTTTAAGAATTGTTCAAAGAATTTAATTCCATGCAGAACTCTGGTTGCCATGGCAACCGAAAGAAAAAAACTTTAAATATCTTCTTTAAAAAAACCCTAAGAGCTAGAGCAAAGATATTCGGCATGAAACATCTTCTTGTGAGTGTCTACCAAGTTTGTTTAAATAAAAGCCCTAGGGTCAAAATTGGCACTGCCCCAGGGGGTCATTGATTTTCCCTATATGCATATTGTAAAAACTTAAAAAATCTTCTTTTAAAGAACCCAAAGAGCTAGAGCTAAGATATTCAGCATGAAACATCTTCTAATGAGTGTCTACCAAGTTTGTCAAAATAAAAGCCCCATGGTCAAAATTGGCCCCACCCCAGGGGGTCATTGATTTTCCCTATATGTATATAGTAAAAACTTAAAAATTCTTCTTTTAAAGAACTCAAAGAGTTAGAGCTAAGATATTTAGCATGAAACATGTTCTAATGGGTGTCTACCAAGTTTTTTCAAATAAAAGCCCTAGGGTCAAAATTGGCACTGCCCCAGGGGGTCATTGATTTTCCCTATATGCATATTGTAAAAACTTAAAAAATCTTCTTTGAAAGAACCCAAAGAGCTAGAGTTTAGATATTAAGCATGAAACATCTTCTAGTAAGTGTCTACAAAGTTTGTTCAAATAAAAGCCCTTGTGTCAAAACTGGTCCCGCCCCAGGAGTGTCATTGTTTTTAACTATATGTGTATAGTAAAAACTTAGAAAACCCAATGAGCTAGAGCTTAGAGGTTTAGCATGAAACATCTTCTTCTGAGTGTCTTCCAAGTTTGTTCAAATAAAAGCCCTTGGGTTTAAATTGGCCCTGCAGGTGGGGGGGGGGGTTATGATTATCTTTTTTTTTCAACCTCAAGTAGCAAAAATAATCATTAAAGTTAATAATACATGGTTTTAAAGTGTATATTATGCAAAATTTTCATGTCTCCCTGGATAAAAGAAATTCCAAGTAAATATTTTGCATCTAATGTAAAATTCCCAATTTGAGTCAAACCGATGAATTTTTTCCCAATCTGTCCAGTACCTGCATCATTCCCAAAGTAACAGAAAAAACACTGCATTTCTCCAAAATCCAGAGACCCATCAAGGTTGTGACAAGCCTGTTTTGAATTGAAATGCAGCATGTAAATCATTTTGTCCATTATGGCCGCTATTCAAGCAATAAGTATAGACTCTCATATTAGTCTTCCTCATCAGTGTCATTCAGAATGACAAAGTAATACATGGCCTTCCATGACAAACACCAGTAAAGACAAACTTATTATTTACTGTCATGACCAAACTTTCGAAATTTGTTAAATTGTCATAACTTTGTCATTTTATTTACAGATTTGAATATTTTTTTGGACAAAAGAACACATATGACAAAACTGACATGTTGAATTATTATGATATGACCTTGACCTTAAATTTATCCTGACCATGGTGGTTAAATATTGAAATTGCTTAAATTGTCATTACTTTGTTTTGTATTTATTAATTTGATTACTTTTTGAACAAAAGAATACATATAACAAATTTTACTGATAAGTTGAAGTATTCTGATAAGACCTTGACCTTTTTATTTTGACATTTTTTGTTACTTTTAACTCTTAATTTTACAGTCAATATTCAAGAATTTGGAAAGGGTAACTCACCATTGCCAGGTCCCCAGTCCTGGATAATTGAAGCAGGAGGGTCTTCCAACAAACAAGTAAGTTATTGATTTTATTCCGAATGGCATAAGTCTATTTATACACCCAGAATTAGCTTGGAAAAGTGTTTGTGGTATCAGAATTTTTAGGATGTGGGCCCTTGTTACATGTACATGTATAATGTAAAAACTTAAAAATCTTCTTATAAAAAACACAAGGAGCTAGAGCTTAGATATTAAGTTGTTGTCTACCAAGTTTGTTCAAATAACAGCTCTGGGGTCAAAATTGGCCCTCCGCCCTCGGGTTCATTGATTTTCCTTAAATGTATATAATAAAAGCTTTAAAAATCTTCTTTTAAAAATACCAAAGAGCTAGAGCTTAGATGTTGAGCATGAAATATCTTCTAGTGAGTGTCTACAAAGTTTTTTCAAATAAAACCCTGGGGGTTAAAATTGGCCTCGCCTTAGAGTTTGTTGATTTTCTTATATGTATGTATATTGTAAAAACTTAAAAATCTTTTAAAAAACCCAAGAGCTAGAGCTTAGTTAGATATTAAGCATCAAACATCTTGTAATGGGTGTCTAAATAAAAACCCTGGGGTCAAAATCAGCATCACCCAAGGGGATAATTGACTTTCTTTATATGTATATTGTAAAAACATTAAAAATATTCTTATCAAAAACCCAAAGACCTAGAGATTAGATATTTAGCATGAAACATTTTCTAGTGAGTGCATGTCTACCAAGTTTCAGATACAAATATAAACTTTGTGATTTAGAATTTTATCTGCATTTGTTTATAGTATACGATATTACTTGTTCCTTGTCATGGAGAGTTTCTGTATTCAGGTTAGTGGTTTCAGGGCCATCATGGCCCTCTTGTTAGCTCACCAGAACGGAAGGTTCAGGGTGAGCTATTAGCTAGTATTAAAGCGGGATGCTCCGGTTTCATGTGTTAACAATTGTCTTCTTCTCTGAAACTGTTGGACAGATTTACTTAAAATTTGGTCTGTAGCATCTTTGTGACAGTCACACTTAAATTTGCACATGTCATTTCAATTGGCCCCTTTCAGTAAACATCTTTGATAAAGAACTAATTGATGGATGACCACCAAACTTTGTCTGTAGCATTCTTGGATAATCTGTTATCAAGTTTGCTCATATTAATTTGATTGGCCCCTTTTAGGGGTCTCTAGGGCTTAAAATAGAAAACCCTTTAAACATCTTCTTCTATAGAACTAATTAATGAATGATCACCAAATTTTGTATGTAGCATTCTTAGGTAGTCTTTTATCAAGTTTGATCATAATAATTTGATTGGCCCCTTTTAGGGGCCTCTAAAGCTAAAAATAGAAATACTTTTAAATGTCTATTTCTACAGAACTAATTGATGGATGATCACCAATCTTTGTCTGTAGCATTCTTAGGTAGTCTTTTATCAATTTTTGCTCATATTAATTTAATTGGCCATTTTTTACTGGTCTCTAGAGCTAAAAATAGAAAAACCTTTAGGCATCTTCTTCTTGAATGATCACCAAACTTTGTTTGTAGCATTCTTGGGTAGTCTTTTATCAAGTTTACTCATATTAATTTGATTGGCCCCTTTTATGGGCCGCAAAAGCTAAAACTAGAAATACCTTTAAACGTCTATTTCTACAGAACTAATTGATGGATGATCACCAAACTTTGTCTGTAGCATTCTTGGATAATCTTTTATCAAGTTTGCTCATATTAATTTGATTGGCCCCTTTAAGGGGTCTCTAGGGCTAAAAATAGAAAACCCTTAAAATCTTCTTCTATAGAACTAATTGATGAATGATCACCAAATTTTGTATGTAGCATTCTTAGGTAGTCTTTTATCAAGTTTGATCATAATAATTTGCTAAAAATAGAAATACTTTTAAATGTTTATTTCTACAGAACTAATTGATGGATGATCACCAAACTTTGTCTGTAGCATTCTTAGATAGTCTTTTATCAAGTTTGCTCATATTAATTTAATTGGCTGCTATTAAGCTAAAGCTTAAATGCCCCAGGTCATGGCATTTCTTCAAATTATTCTTTAAAGATATTCTATGCTCAAATTTAATATTAGAAAATATTGACAATGGATAATTTCCAACACTGAAAAGCAGTTGTTTCTGATGAGCAACTTAGGGCCATCATGGCCATCTTGTTATGTTAATTGAAATGAGTTTATGCGCATAGTGTATGCATGCCCTCCTTAAGGTCAAGGTCACTCTGCAGTTCTGTTAAATTTTCAAAAGTTATTGTTAGCTATGTCCTATGGACACATTTCTAGTTTAGGATGAACAGCCAAGTCCAATACATGACCCTATTGATTTTAGGGTCATAAGGTCAAAGTGATGGTCACACTGATCTTGTCACTGACAATTGTGCTTTCTGGAGCATAACACAAGTTCGATTAGCAGTTCAAACTTCATTGCATGCTTGCCTATATTGAATAAAAGATCCTTATCTATATTGGGGTCACAAGGTCAAAGGTCAATATTAAATGACCTTACTATTGTTAACAGTTTTACAACTGTCAAACTTCATAGGATGGTCACTTACCTACCCCTGGTGTCTTTCTGTCCATCTGTCGTAGCATTTTATTACTTACAAGATAACAACTTGATGGTGGTGCTTTGGAAACAGCAACTGTACAAAAAAAAAAGGAGACACTTTCGGGCATATAATGCTCCGCCTAGTGGTGCTCTTGTTGAATTGATAGGAGACTACTAAAACTATTTGACAGGAATGTTACTTATAATGAGATGATGTGCAGAACCCAGATTTAGGCTTCTTAAGAGGGGCGTCCCTGGCTGAGTGGTTAAGGTTGGTGACTTCAAACCACTTGCCCCTCAACGCTGTGGGTTCGAATCCTGACAGGGACTTTGGATTCTTACATGTGAGGAAGCTATCCAGCTAGCTTACTGAACGTCGCTGGTTCTACTCAGGTGCCAGTTCGTGCCTGAAATAATGCACAGAAGGGCATATGAGGTCTTCCTCCACCAGTAAAGCTGGAATGTCGCGATATGACCTATACTGTGTCGATGTGACGTAAAACCACAAAATACAAACAAACAGATCATAATTGGCTACCCAGTTTGTCATTTTAGTATGCCCCTATTTGTAGAAACTTTGTCTTTAATAAAATACTTTCTGTATCCTTCATTTTCAATTAACATTTACAGCTATGGGACACAAGCATTCAAAATCAAAACAACTGGTTATTGAAAATATCAGAGGAGAAACTGTCAACATTTATCATGAATGTTCTTGCACCAAGTCAGAACAACAACAAATGGACCAATACCAATCAAATGGAAAACTTTTTAAATTGTCAAATTATGCTAAAAAAAGAAAAAAGACCCCGTTTTGGAAAAGAAAGAATTCAAAAACAAATTGTAATGATATTGAAATTTATGTTAGTGATGAAACTGAAGACAATGAACCGATACAGATAAATGGGTTTATCCAACAGACTTCCAGTTCTGAATCTGAGCAATACATTAAGCCAAACACTAATGAATTTTCAAGTTTTGAAGCAGTGCCATCTGAAACAACTGATTGTAGAAACATTACTTGGTCTAAATCAAGTGGTGACTCTGGATTTGTTGAGAGTGATTATAATTCTTTCAAAAACCAAACAAATGTTCAGTCTGTTAGGTCAAATGCTCACAATGGTAAAGATCAAACTGAGATAGGTAGAATAGAACAATCTCAAAATGAATCATGTGAAGTAAGCACACAAACAAATCTAGACACAACTCTATCAAATGATGGTTATGATTGTGCTACTGAAAGAAAACATCTTGCACACAATTCTGAATGTTCCAGACTTTCAGATACTGAAAGGAATTCAAAACCAAAGAAGCAGATAATGAGCGTGTCCTCATTTGATTCTTCTTGTGATAATGAAGATACTTTGAGAAATCTCAATCTTCGTTGCGAATCAGACTCGGAGGAATTAACTTTTCTGAAACTCCCTGGGCCATCAATTAAACAGGAATGTACTGAGATAAAATCAATTTTTAGTCCTGAGATGCTACATTTAGTTAATATTGATCAAGTACCATCATCAGGATACCCTTTAGAAAGTGATTGTGATTATTTTTTGACACATGACTTATCAAGTGAGTTTTCAGAAAAAAATACTTCAAATACTGTAGAGAAAGATTTGTCAAGTTGTTCAAAAATAACAGATGACAAAGATAATACATTTGAACATGTGTTACATGTAAGTTCAAATGAATTTAAGATAGGAAAAGAAATAGTAAATGTAAGAGTTGAGCATGTACCAGAAACAATAACAAAACACTGTGATAAAGAAAGAATAAGTGCAGATGAAGATACTTATCTGCAAAAGTTTGTACTGATAAAACAAAAAATACGGGGATTTAACCATCTGAAAGTATAAAGAACTAACTTTCAGATTTGAAGGATTTGTCGGGGGAAATTTTTTCAAAATAAAGTATTTGTCCGAAAAAAATCCAAAATTTTTAATCTGTGTTGGAGACCTGCATCAAACATGAGATGGTGGGACTTAAGGTGGGCAAAAATGAAAGCAAAACTTTAGTGATTGAAAATAAAATTGGGTAAATAAAGGAACAGCGTATGGTTAAAAAAAAGGAAGGGAAATGCTGGCGGATTTTTGATTGAAAAAAAAGTGAGTAAATAATGGGGGGAAATTTTGAGGTAAAAATTTAAAGTGAAGTAAAAAATGACCAGAATTTGTTGATTGAAGAAAATAAAAGCAAGGTAAATGCAGGAAACAATCTGTGGATGGAAAATAATGAGAAAAATAATGGTCACATTTCGGTGATGGAAAATAAAAGTGAGGAAATAAATACAGTGTATTCTGATGTGAGCAGAGATTCTGGTTGTTATACCTTAAGTATGAATAAAGGTAGTGACAAATGTCAAGAAGATAATCTTAAGGTCACCACACCCTATGATTCCCTTTCACTAAAGAAATCTACTTCAGATTTCATGAAATTTGAACATTCTGTCAAGTTCAATAATATTAATACATGTATTTATTGTTTTGGAAGTCCACAATTTGAAAATTTGATTGTTACCTCTTCCCGTTGCCAGAATTTGCTTGCAATAGCAATTGATGAACAAGATGCAAGTATTACTTCTTTTATCAGAGTATCAGAATGTGGAATTCTACAAGAGGTGACTTTGAGCCAATATGAAAATCAGGAAACACAAACATCAGCAAGTGAAACATGCAATTTTAATAAAAGAAAAGATGCAGGAATAGAAAGAAAAAGAAATTTTTATTCAGAATCTGAACAAGATATTTGTGATAAGAGACATGAAGCCTACCATTTGAATTTCCGTAATGATGGCTTTTGGTATGGATATGGTGCTCAAGATTGTTCTTTTTATCATAAGTCCCAAAGGAGACATGACATCTGTAATGAATACCATGGCACGGAAATGAATTGCACACACTTATCTTATGGGGCTAAGGCTATGTCAGAGAGTAACTTGCCATCCCTCGAGGATAAACTTACATTTTGCTCTAAAAATACATTAATTCAAGGTTTCAATTTTGCTTCTGTATTACCCAAACATGATGATAAAAGAAGTGACCATTTAAATGCGTTTAGGAAAGAACAGCCGAATAGTGATAGATATGAAGATGAAAAAAAGGGTAATGAGGACATAAATTTTGGTCATTTCAGCAAATCAGTTTCTCCAACAAATATTGATTCAAGGATAAGACCTAAAAGGCTTAAGAAAAAGAGAAAGATAACACCACATCGAGAAACGTCAATGACTTCTTTGTTAGGAATTCAAACTTCTTCAGGTTCTTTCCATCACTCGAAGAAAAAGAGTTATTATTCGCAATATAAAAGGAAAAGTAAAACAAGTCGGACACGAAAGTTTTCCAAACATCAAAAGTCAAAAACAATACATAATGAATTATTTAGTACTTTCTTCGACTCTGGTTTAGGGTCATCAAGAAGTACCAAAAGTAACTCTTTGATATATATGATGAAACAGGAATCATACAAATCAAAAAGCAAATTTTCTTTTTCACGCAAAAGATCACTTGAAAGATTAAGAATACAACAAAGCATGAAATCGATAACAAAGTATGAGAGATATATGAAAAACTTTTTTAGAAATAGAGGAAGATTGCTTGCTAAATCAGTTGCTAGACATCTAATCGGAAGACCCTCAAGTAATGGAACTATAGTAGTATTAGATAGATATTTTCATAGAGTTAGTAATGGCCCACCTTTAACAACACAAGAGCGAATGCAGTATGAATGGCTAAGACTTTCAACTTTCCACAATTACGAGGGTAATGGAAATGCCATTGTTCTGCTAGGAATGGATTCTATCATGATCATACTGAAGCGACCAAACTTCCTACAAGGTGTTTCCTTTGTGAAGCTCGTAACTCTAATTGGGCAAAATGATTTGGGCGAATGTTAGTTCAGAACATAAGACCGTCAAGTCACCAAATTGTCCTTTTTCATGAGAACCCAGTGGACCAAGAGTCTGTAAAATGTTTCAATAATACTTACGAAGACAACGTTACAGGATCGTCAAGCCAAGCCCCAACCAACACAACATCAGGCTTCTGCTCCCACAGTAACAGTTAACATCTTCCAGCTTCTTCTGTTGCTACTGCAGCAGTCAATGAAGCTCTGAGAAGTCTTCAGATTGGTCAGGCTTCTTCTCATGTAAGTGTAAATAAATTTCCATTAATAAATGTTTAATGCGAGTATGTATTACTGGGAATGAAAATTAAAGCGGCTATACAGGACTTGAAGTTCGGTCACCTTGATTTGTAATTAGAGTTGGTCAAATAATATGCTAAGGTGAAAAATCACTTGATTCCTGTAGCAGTAATTTTCATTAAGAGTAACTCTTGTTTTTAATTGAGTAAGATTAAGTTTCATTATATGTATATGATATACCATACTTACGATAAAGCATTTACAGGTGCTTCTTATTGGCATAGGTTTTGCTAAATGACTAATCTGCGACAGTCAATTTGTCTAAAAAAAAAATTGTCTCTTAGAATAATTAAAAAATACCATAATATGCTAGGATTGACCGTCTTGTATACTTGGCTAGCCATGTACATGCTGTTGTCAAGTAGTTGAGTAGTTAACAACAAGCAAACATTAAAAAAGGTGGATCTGAAAATAATTAAAAAGGCAGTAAGGTTAATAAAACTGTTGTAATTAAAAAAAATGTAGTTGGTAAAAAAAGACACTTTTCCCCTTTTTATTTTTCTTAAATCTCTGAAATGCTAAATAGGTATGGAAATTACATGTAGTCCAGTTGATAAAGCATTAAAAGACAATATATGTTGTGACTTAATTTACTTTAAAAAAGAATGTAGGAAATAGTTGGATACCATTATACAAAAAATGTTTCAGTAAGTCAACTGGTTACTAGTAAGATTTATAGTGACATTATTATTAAATAGTATTGTTGATTAAATTAAACATAAAGGGAGCAGAAAGTATCTCACAACAACCTACAGAAGATAGAGAGAGTTGATCGATCAATGCTGGGCCTTGTTCCCAGCCTCTACCCCTAACGAGCCCTTGGCCGTTTACTAGGACACTCTTATGCATCTATTATGGCACCTACAAGGAATAATTGTTGCCTCTGGTGGCAAGAAAGTAATGGTAAAACATATTTTTTTATACACATGTTAATGTCATATTTAATATAGTCAGTGTTTAGGATATTAAATTGTATGTATGTTAAGCGATGTCATGTTTCCTTATTTGAATGGAATAATCACCACATGATTTATAATTATATTATAATGGTCGTTGTACGATTCTTACATGAATAAATTAGTTCTCATTGAATAGTATAACCATTTACTATGATAAAGTTTGTGAGAGATTTTTTTGAAGTTTGAGAGGTGTCTGTGGCTGAGTGGTTAAGGTTGTTGACTTCAAACCACTTCAACCTGCGTAGGTGCGAGCCTGCACCTGTGTCCATATTCTACATGTGAGAAGCTATCCAGCTAGCTTAAGGAATTCAGTGGCTCTACTCAGGTGCCGGTTTGGTGCCTGAATAAATGTACAGAGGGGCATTCAAGGTCTTCCTCTAAAACCATAGTGACCTAATGTGTTTCGTGCAACCAAAACAAAAATGTTTTTTTTTTGGAATACCTAAGCTATGATATCATGATGATCTAAAAACATTTATGATGTAATATGACATGTCTGGTAATACTAGGCCTATGACAACATATGTTAAAATAACTTGCAAATATTTGAAGTAGTTATTGCATTATCCTTAATATTGTACAAGTAAATGGTAGTTCAAATATTTTGTAACTTTAGAGGAAAAAGTATTTCTTTCAATAATACCTGTAAATTATATTTTATGTATATGAAATTGATTCAGATTATTTTGAAAATTAAAATTATTAAATCATTTGTTTAAGTTGGGGTTGATCCTGGAAAGAGATGTTTCAAGAAGTACTTCAAGCCAGATTCCCGGAATTCGACCGTCTTCCATTTTAGGGGGTCCTGTTGGTGCTGGGCTTTTGCTGGTAAGCCTCAATCTGTTACTTCATAGCATTAATTATTATAATTAAGAAGTCTTGACAATTACTGAATTATTTAGTTGCCAAATATAGATCTTCCATAGGAGTGACTAGAAACGTCATTACAAAAGAATGTAACTGTTACCACATTGATAAAATAATCTGAGTTAATTTCTATGTACTTAAAGTATTTTATACATTTGTGTTATTTAAAGGCTCTGATGTAATGTTATGGTTTTACATATTGTTTAAACATTCAGGAATGTTCTTGAATGCCACTTTATTAAAAAGAGGATAGATTGTGTTGATATTGATTTGATGGTTTAGTAAAAATTTATTTTAACACGTTTGCCTGATTACCGTTGTTCATTCTTTAAAATGTATTGAAAAAGAAAAAAAACTGACTTTATGATAAATGTAAGTCTAGACCATAATTTGATAATCATGAATAAATTTTTTTGTGTGTTTATTGATTAACACCACATCCTGTTTTTAAAAGAGTAGAATAATGTAAAAAAATATGAATTTTTATCAGATAAAATTGTAAACTTACTGAAATTCTCCTTCTTCTATTATTGGAATGCTTAAGTTTTAAAAATTATAAAAGGTCATGTTCATCGTTTTCAATACTTATTTTAACAGGTTTGAATTCTAGTGGCTTAACACCCAGTCTCTAGAGCAAAGGAAAATTTAAACAGAAGTAAAATGTCCCACCCAGCAGTGGAAGCAGCCACTGGAGCAAGGCAGTCTAACCCAGCCCAGGCGCAGGGGGTAGAACTGATCCTAACATCACTGTTGTTGTAGATAACCCAAAACATCCAGATATGTGAATGTAGAGTCACGAGTTAACACTTACCAAGGATGGCCAGATTTATCTAGATCAGACTCCCAGACAAATGTCAATGAAAGGCTGGCTTCTTCTTTGTGGGTAGGTAATTTTCATTATTGTAAAATGTCCTTTTTTCAGGATTGGTTTTTAAGCTATAATAACCTTTATTATGATCAACTTTAAAAGTTTTATAAAATTATTTGGTTGAATAGGCGGACATCCGGGTCTGAGGTTATAAACAAAGTCTCTAAAGCTCAGTCCTCAGATCTCAGGCATTTTGATGGTCAGAAATGCCAAATGAATGTATACTGGACCAATGAAAATCATGAGATTTAAGACAGAACTCAGAAAAAAGTTTTATAAAAGTTGAGTCTGTACAACTTATCTATCACATGAAAATATAAATTTATACTATGTTACTTCAAACTGTAACAGTCCCCTTTATCAACATATTTCCAAATATTTTGTAATGTGCAGTCAAGCCTAACCTTGAACTTAAAAAATCATGGACTCAGTTTGACAAAAAAAAATGAATATTTATTGTAAGTTTCCTTCAAACAAAAATAGGTAATAAAGTTCAGCCCTTTAAACTCATTTCAGACATAGGAAATAATTGTATACATCAATAAGGGTCTGGGTTCCCAGCTAAATCTTCATCCCATACTATTTCTTGCAGGTGTAGCAGATTTCACACGTTGCTTCTGCTGTGGCGGAGGTTTAAGAAATTGGGAACCAGGTAAGTGATCTATAGATTATGACATTTTTACCATACTTTACTTATGTTGTCAGTATAAAGTTATATGGTTATAAGAGATTTTAGTACCTGTCCAATTACAATTACCTTCATACTTACCTGGTTATCTGTTTGAGACATATAGCTGCTAGCATTCTATAGTTTGTGTGTACATTTATATGAAGAAACCTATCTGAAAGGTTTCAGTAAGGAATGTTTGAAAATTGGACAAAAGTTAGATTGCTCTTTGGTTTAATTGTTGAAAGTGAGAGATCATGATTACTTCTTTGTTTATCCTTAAATATCATTTTGAATGTTTCAGATTGGACAGATCTCACTATTTATTTCTGGATTTCCTCTTATTACGCTTCAGTTTGTTTCAATTTACATATCAGTATATCATACAGTATGATTTTTATTATGCCCCCACTTTAGGGAGGAGGCAATTAGATTTGCCCTTGTCCATCCATGTGTGCAGCTGGTCAATGTTGTGTCTCATGTACCTCTAATTATGCTTAAGCTAAAGTCAACAAACTTTACAGAAATGTTGATCAGCATGTGTAGTTGTGTACCGTGGCTTTATTCAGAATTTGTAGAGTGTTTACCCTTGACTTTGTAAAGTTTGCAATTTTCAACTTGTGTCAGTTGCACATAGCTCAAAAAGTATTTGACATGGAGTCAAAAAACATTACACGAATGTTGATCAGCAAGTGTAGTTTTGCACATGGGAGTTTGCTTGTAATTACTTGTTGTAAGTCTAATTTACTAGAACTGTCAAAGAAATTGATTTTTAATAGAATTAATCAAGGGCAGGTAACTCCTTTATAGACCCTTTCATTTAAGCGAAAATAGTCAGGGAAGAGTTACTTCCCTTACCGGGTGTGACGTAAATGGGGGATAAAACTATGCAGGCCGCATAGAATGTTAGCTTATTGAAAAGTTAAATGCGTTAATACTGATCGTTCAAATTATGATTATAACATGTAAATGTTACGCATGCATACATAAATTCAATATCAATACAATAGAAAAAAAATACAAAAAACAAAGATTGAGATTAAATTCTAGCTACGGGAGTGAAACAGCGAAATTTCAAAAGTGAATACTGCAGTATATTTTATTAGATCTAGATTTTCTCTAATGCCCGGATAAAATCTAGTAACTAAATCAAATTTTTAATATTTTATAAACACCCATACACACTGAAATTGCCTATTATAAATTTAAATGGCCATTTTTCTAGTTTTTCAGTGTTATTTTCTGTCATTTAGAAAATTCCGGCGTTTTTTTGTGATAAACATGAAATAAGATTGCCAATGTCTTTTAATGATAGTTTTTCAAGCTTTAATAGAACAATAAACAGAATGCATTCTATCAATACTTACTGATTTTTTTTTCATTATGCCGTATAAAAATATTTCTAAGAACCAGTGAAGGATATAATTCTATAAATATTCCGGAAAGAACGAAAACCATATCGCATTGACTTTTGTAATTTTAGATACGCAACAGACGATAATAAGATAATTTTATATTAAAAATCTATTCTTATGGTTATGAAAAATAAGACCTCATACATGTCATAGATAAATAGATGTGTATATATAAGCGCCACTGGGCCGTATCATATTAATTAACAGGGTGCATATGTTGTATATTCAAGCGGCACTTAGCTGTGATATCGTAAATCACCAGGGTGCATTTTTTAGAGTTATAACATTACATCAGATTACATCACTTTTGTTTAGTTGTCAAAATATTTATGGTCCGAATTTTGTTATGGAATTCATCCTAGGGACTTTATTGGTCATGCCTTACTGATTTGATACTCGATCCAGAGTCCTACCAAGTGGCACAGTCAAAAATACGTAAAATTATAATCCAGTTAATAACGAATTTCTGTGCACGTGTTTCACAACTTGTTTTTTTTGTGTGATTTTTTTTTTAGATTTTTGATAAGCAGAGTATGAATTAAAAAGTATTAAGTTGACAATATTACTTAATTAGCTTAAATTCATTGATGTGATGTACGATTTTTTGAGAGTGCATTTTTTGCCAATACAAATAGTATACAGTCATGTACATTCAAAAGAATTTTTACTTTTTATGCATTTACATTTTTTTTTTTGAAATTACATAGATTTATATTGTTGTTTTTCTTTGTCTTAGTAATGCTTAAATCAAAATGATTTTTAATAAACCAGTTTCTTGCAATTAATTATTACGCAGCCGTTTTTCGAAACTACAGAATCCTCACATTTTTGAAACTCAGAATATCTTTTGGGTATTGTATATTACCAGAGACATAGATAGATTATCTATATCACTGGTATTAGCAAATTAGTACGATTCAACGGCCTGGTAAAATTCTCATTAATTTATAAAGAATCTAACGAAAATGGTAAATATGATCAGTTACCCAGCAATACGGTCTACTATTAAAACAAATCGTTAACCTTATTATAGTAAACATTTTTATTCATTTCACTATCTTTTTATGTAATATCTTATTAAATTACCCAAAATTTTGGCAATTCCAATCTCCCAATCTTACAAAAGAAAGGATTAAGATCTTATTATATCCCTCTATCATTGTACTTAATCGTATCGCCATTGTCCACCGTATCCCCCAATGACGTCATCCAAGGGCGACAACTTGAATACGGTCTTAAATGAAAGGGTCTATAGACTTTACTGTTAATTTTAGCTAATTTTTGGTTTTTATATTTGTTTAATTTCACTGTTACCATGTTATAGGAGATGACCCAGTATTGGAGCATACCAGATGGTTTCCTCGTTGTGAATATATTAACAAACTAAAGGGGGAAAGATATGTGGCTGCTGTACAGAGACGTCATGAACAACATGTAAATATCATACACATACCTGCTCTAGTATATTATTTGACAGATTTTTCATAACACAGTAGTATTGAAGTTTATAGCAGTAAAATATATTAAAATCCAGTCATGTCTAGTGTAACAGTGAATTATTTGATGGAGATGTCATTAGATGACAGATGTATGTAAATATAGAAAAGGTACCTTTAGAAAAGCAAAATTGTAAGGTACAAATTTGAAATTAGGCAAGGGGGTCTGTGTGGAAATATTTCTTCATTAAGAAAAAGACAAATTGATTTCGTTGTTAAAACAATCTGTTGACCTGAGCAGTCAACATATAGAATATTGGTAGCAATTTATTTAACATAAAGGATAATGGTAGCAATTTATTCAACATATAGAATAATGGTAGCAATTTATTCAACGTATAGAATAATGGTAGCAATTTATTCAACATATAGAATAATGGTAGCAATTTATTCAACATATAGAATAATGGTAGCAATTTATTCAACATATAGAATAATGGTAGCAATTTATTCAACATTTAGAATAATGGTAGCAATTTATTTTACAGATGGCTGAACAGCAAAGACAGCAGACAGAGCTTGCACAAAGACGTGATGGTATGTATTCACATTTTAACGGGCTGGAAAATTTGTTATTATAATAACAACATTTTTAACTGTCTATTTCTTCTTACCATATGTAAAACAAGGGTTTCTGTTGCTTGAAAGACAGAATTTTGATAACATAACAAATTAGTTGTTCATAATGTACATGTATTTACTTTGTAATTTTAGAGAGCCGTAACGACCCTGATCCATTGACGATAGAGGCTGCAATACAACTACAAGACATGGGTTACAGTGCAGAACGAACACGACAGGCTGTTATAGCTGTACGACAGCAAACAGGTTTGTAATAGTTATAATCTGCTTAACTAGAACCATTCTATTGTCAAATAATTTCTGATTTCTTTCAGTTTTATTTTTTTTTGTACTCAATTAAAAAGAGGGCTTTATCTTTTACAACACTGATTTTATGTTACTTTTTGTGGATATATTTACGGCATGTAACATAATTATATAAGTTAAAAGCTGAAAAATATAATTGGTTTTGAATGGCCAAAATTTTATGATTATTGTTTATCATACAGGACAGTCAATTCCTACCACAGAACAAGTGTTGACCTGGTTACTGGACAATGAAGAAAGAGAAAATGGTAGTGGAATGACTACAGGTATATGTTTTTTTACTACTGGTTTTGTTAGGGTTAGCATATTTCGATATTATAACAAGTTGTTCAATGTTGTTGGCTCCACTTAAGACTGAATTTGTGTTGGTGCTCCAGTAGAGACTCAGAATTTGTGTTAGTGTTAATCCCACTAGAGACTGAATTTGTGCTGCTGCAGATTCCACTATAAGACTGAATTTGTGTTGATGCTCCACTAGAGAACCAGAATTTGTGTTGGTGCTCCAATAGAGACTTTGAGTTTGTGTTGGTGCCAATCCCCACTAGAGACTGAATTTGTGTTAGAAAGACTGACTTTGTGTTGGTGCAAATTACACTAGAGACTCTAAATGTTTGTTAGTGCCATTTTCCCTTGAGACTCTGGATTTGTGTTTGTGCCAATCTCACCAAAGACTGAATTTGTGTCAGTGCTGATCTTACTAGAGATGGAATTTGTGTCATGCTGATCTCAGTGGAGACTCTGGATTTGTGTTGGTACCATTCCCACTAGAGACTCTGAATTTGTGAGGAAGATTTTCATTTCATATTCGCACATTTCCATGAAACTTGGATCATGCACTGCAGAAAATTTAACAATAATTTGACTGACAATTTTTCAATTTACCTGTTTAATCTTTGCAAGATTTGTTTTGTGAAAATTTGCTGAAGGAAGCATTATATTTGAAATATGTTGTGATTGAAAAAAAGATTTTTTTGTGAATGATGATTTTATTGTTAATTTTACATAAAATATGTTTATTTTGCAGAGTTTGGAGTGAGACCTCAACCTAGTGAGACATCCGCTGTAGCAACTACTGTTGTGGGAACCAGTGTTCCTTCCTCAACTATCAGTACTCCTTCAAGTATTGTAGGAACCAGCATACCTACTTCTGTTGTGAACACAGGATTTGGTATCCCAACTACCATTGTGGGAACCAGCGTCCCCACTTCTATTGTTGGTACCAGCATTCCATCCTCAATTTTAAATGCAGGATCCAGTTTTGAGTCGTCCTCCACATTTTATACAGGGTTCAATGCTCCATCTACTCTAGTAGAATCTGTAAGCATCATAGGTACACCCAATGTACACACTATTTCTAGCACATCTTCTTCCACGTCACAAGTGGGTGCTGGTACTACAACATCTACTGTGAGCTCAACTTCTACATCTGCTACAGCCAAGGTCCAGCCATCAGTTTCTTCAGCTTCAGCAGAAGGTGTAACAGAAGGAAGTTCTTCTGCGACTGGTTCTGAGAATAATTCAGGCTCTCATGAAGCTAAAGGATCAAACACAGAGAAGCAGTCTGCAGCATCTGGTGACAGTGATGAATCCAAGCAAACAGCTAAAGGTTTGTCCCTCACCTGTTAGTCTATGTTACCTAGTACCTGTAATAAAACTTGAAAATGAAACAATTTATTTTAAATTACTCATTAATTAATAACTTTTGCAACACATTTCTAAGAATTTAAAATTTAAAAGAAAATATGAGAGGAAAGACATGTCATGTTTTTTTGTGAAGTGGTCCAAATTGTTTAAACTGTAATTTAGTCTATTTTGCGTTGATTTGCTCAAACAACTTGAAAAAGTTATAGGTGACATGACATACCTAAAAAGGAATTTTACAGGATGTAAAAACAAGCATAATAATTGGCAGAAATAAGACTGAGATCATACAGTCATACAAGATAGTGGTTAAAAAATCATCCTTTCTTACCACAAGTAAGAACTTTACAGAGTATTTGTAGACATAAAAGTGACTTTTGTTCTATACTAGTGATAAAGAGGTTGCAGTTTAAGTTCAAGCATTATAATTTATGCAATTAACAATTTGGTTTGTAAAGTTTCGAATTATTTCATAGATCCAAGTAGCAATGAACCTTCGAACAAATCAAACAAGAAGAAGAATGGTAAGAAAAAGGCTAAAATGAAACCAAAGTCGGACACGGCTGGTGCTACAGGGGGAGATGTAGGTCTGTATTTCATGCTGAGCTGATTCTTAAAATGTTTACAAATATTATCTGGTCTCATTCTTATAAAAAAAAAACTTGGCAAGGCATTTAAGATACTTACTTGCCATTTTCACGTTATTAATCAGTTTATTAGTTTTGAAAATCTAGATTATTAGATTGATGAATGATTGGCGAAGGATGTTAACAGGTGGTTACCTGTCAATATCTATACAGGTCAGATTGACTTGCTGTAATCTGATTTGACAAAATAGCAAGCTCATTAGAAGACCTGGCTTGGCATTGCTTTTTTTGGCCCCTAATGTCATGGTCAAGGTGTCTGTTTCTCAACAAACAAAAAACAATTCCAGTCAAATACCGTTGTTAGGAAAGAATTTTGTATTTCAAGGATATATGAATCAGAGCTCATTTGGGATTGCTGATCAAATCTGATATTTTTATGCTCCCCGAAAAATTTCGAGGGAGCATATAGTCGCCGCCTTGTCCGTCCGCTTTTCTTGTCCGGGACATAACTTTGAAGCAACAAGAGGTATCAACATGAAACTTTATAGGTAGATAGATCTCATTGAGTAGGTGTGCAGTGCACAAGAACCGTAACTCTGTATTGCCAAATTTTGGAGTTATTGCCCTTTGTTCATTTGACACTTTGAACTTTGTCCGGGACATTACTCTAAAATTATAAGAGATATCAACATGAAACTTTGTAGATAGATAGGTCTCATTGGGTAGAAGTGCAGTGCTAAAGAATCATAACTCTGCCTTGCCTTTTTTTTTGAAGTTATTGCCCTTTGTTTATTTTTACTTTTTGACTTTTGTCCGGGACATAACTCTAAAACTATTAGAGATATCAACATGAAACTTTGTAGGTAGATAGATATCATTGGATAGAACTGCAATGCTTAAAAACCTAAACAAAGCCTTGTCTACTTTTGGAGTTATTGCCCTTTGTTCATTTTTACACTTTGAATTTTACCCAGGACATAACTCTGAAACTATAAGAGGTATCATAAGGAAACTTTATAGATCTCATTAAATAGAAGTGCAGTGCAAAAAAAACATCACTCCGCCTTCCCTAATTTTGGAGTTTTTGCCCTTTGTTCATTTTTTTATACTTTCCTGTGTCCAAAACCTTCTCGGGGAGCATCACTCGGTTCAACCAGTTCTTGTTTAGAATTCTGTAGAACTAAATAATGCACTGATTTAATAAATATTTGGACACAACAATATGATAGTCAATATCATCATACTACCTGAAGTGAATATGACCTTGAGTCTTTAATGACCTTGACCTACAAGATCAAATTGAACCCCTGGTTATGTGACATTGCCATGATTAGCGTTATTACTTGAAATTAAATTAAATTGAGCTCAAGGATAAGTTATTGTCTATGCCTCAAGATGTGACACATTGCTTAAAACTTTTCAAAAAATCACTATGCACATTTTTGCTTGAGACATTGTAAAGAAGTTTGTTTTTTTTTCTTCAAAATTCTACAGATGCACAGTCATTAAAAGCAGAGAATGAAAAGTTGAAAGAAATGCAGACATGTAAGATATGTATGGAAAGGCCTGTTAATACCACATTATTACCTTGCGGTCACCTTGTATGCTGTGAAACCTGCGCAGGACGCTTACAAAGATGTCCAATATGTAGAAAGAGGATAAAAGGAACAGTGAAAACGTTCATGTCTTAAGAAATGAGAACCAATCATCTTAACATCATGAACCAACTGATACATGTATATGAAACAAGGGAGGCTACCAACTTTCCCAGGCTACATTAGCTTAAAACTCCTTATCTGGCCCAGCTTGGAATGGATACAATTGATCATTTATTTGCAGTGTATTTCAGATTTGTTAACCCCACCTGTGAAAATCATGTGTCTGTGAACATTTGCATTCTACTAGTATATGTTGTCCCAGTTAAACCCCTTAAAATTTAAATACTTACCAGTTTAAGTTTCCCACCTAAAATTTTTCTCAAGGGGAAAAATAAAAAGGATGGAAATTTCCAAAAAAAAATTTTAATAAAAAACTATGGGGGGGAACCCCATGTAAATTTAGGTTTTTTGCTGCCCTATCTAAACAGTTTTATTTTTTTTCACAATCATCATGTGATGTGATAAAATTTCATTTCCATTGTTGAGTAGAAACAAAGTTAAAAACATTTTAAAGACATTGAAGAGAGATTTTATTATAATTGGACACATGGGTAGTTTAAATAAATAGCTGTAAGAAGTAATAATTGTTTCCTCTCAGTTTTTCTTTATATTTTGTTGTTGTTCTGAATGATTTTGTCAGGTTGATTTTGCTACTGAGAGAACTTGTGACCTATTGTGAGTGAAAAAGTGTGACCTGTAATGAGAGAAAGTGTGACGACATGTGTGACCTATCGAGAGAACATGTGTGACCTGTATTGAGAGAACGTGTGTCTTATCGTGAGAGAACTACTAAAGTAGCCAAGTCTATTACATCAATACATCAATTGTTTTCATTCTAGCGGTAACAGAGAATTGGCTAGGGGAGAGAACAACTATTTTTTAGACAAAGTTCTGAATAATGGTTTTAGGTATCAACAGAAAATATTAGTGTTGAAAGAGAAAATCTTTTTATACACAAATGAACAAGATCAGTAAAAATAAATTATTGAAAGTATTTTTAGAAGCAAGATTTTGTGAAGAAGAATTCATGAGGTCTAGTTATATATTATCGTACTGTTATTCAACAACTAATTTATCAAAGAAAAGGTTTATATTTGTAAATTCATTATCACATAAAAACATGTTTTGTAAGGTTAAGATTTATCAAATATTTGCATGCAAAAAAAGTTCATGCCGCTTAACAAATATTTTTCTTCTTCAAATAATTGTATGTTATAATAATATAATTTGAAGATTTCTTTTGTTGAATGAATTTTTTCACTGTAGCTAAGACAAGAATGATTGAGTCTAGGTATACTTTTATGGTAAAAGGATCAGAATTGTTATTAGGCAGGTTATTAACTAATGCATATAAAAGAGAGAGACTCTATTATACATTAATAAATGTTGCGTTATATAGATTCATTGACGTGTAATGACAAAAGAATTACATCTTGTTACATAATTTTATGTTATGTACAAAGAATTATGTCATGTTGCATGATTCATTGTGTTATAACAAAAGAAGTATGTCAATTTACATTAGTCAATGATGTGTTATCACAGACTTATGTCTAGTTACATAATTCAATTTGTTATGTGACAAAAGGTGTATGTCATTTTACATAAGTCAATGATGTACTGCGACAAAGAAATTTGTTTAATTTTTTTTTTAAATAAACTGTATTTAATATTTAGATTTAGTATTGTTTATCATAATCTTCCTGGGGCGTCCGTTGCCGAGTGGTTAAGGTCGTTGACTTCAAACCACTTGCCCCTCACCGCTGTGGGTTCAAATCCCGACAGGGACTTTGGATTCTTTCATGTGAGGAAGCTATCCAGCTAGCTTATGGAACGTCAGTGGTTCTACTCAGGTGCCCGTTCGTGCCTGAAATAATGCACGGAAGTAAGTGAAAATACTAAATTCTTTGGTCAGTATCCAAGACTCATAACTATGTCAGACATTGTTTTTCTTCCATGTTAATTCCTACAGTATCCAGGATTTTGTTGCACTATCAAGCACTGAGAATAGTTGAGTGAGCTGTCCTTATGACAGTTCTTGTTTATTGGTGTTTTATAATAATATTATGTCATTTATCATCAATGTTTTAAGTTGAAATAGTCAGAAGTCATTTTTTATTTGTATAATTCTCATTTAACAAGTTATGCTTGTTTCATAACGATACTCTTGTCATTAAACAATGTTGATGATTTGAAAAGTTTTGTCATACATAGATCAAATAGGTCATGTACAGAAATAGTTTATTTTTAGTCATTTGCAAAAGAAATAGTAGACAGTCATTGATATCCATTTCATTAGGGAAAAAAAGAATAAAAAGATCTAAATAAAAAAAACACACTAAAAATAAAAAACAAAAAGAACAAAAAAAAACAAAAAATAGAAAAAAGAGAAGTAAAAAAAGAAATATATTTTATTAGGGAAAAAAAAAAAAAAAAAAAAAATAAAAAAAATAATTATAATAATAAAAAATAAAAAAAATTCGAAAAAATAAAAACAGTAAACAAAAAAAATTCAAAAAATAAAAAAAAAAATTCAAAAAAATTATGTGTGTATTTATGTTTGAAAATGATGTCTGAAAAGTTTTGTTATATCATAATTTTGAGCATATTTTTTATTGTATGATGATTATTGTATTGCAGTTGTATAGCACCAATGTTTATGGTGACTGTAATAATTACTTTGATATAATTGTAATGGTTGGTTTGTTGGTAGGTCAGTTATCTAGTTAGTTAGGTGTTTATCCTTGTTGTAGTTTTATGTGTCTTTACTACAGGTGTATTTATGTCGATTTTCAATATATGAATATAAAATGGTCATGCATTAATATGTGTATTATTATTATGTGCTTAAACATGCTTCCTATTATTATATATAAGCATAACACACCGTCTTTGAGAAAACTTCATCAAATTCATTTGCTTTTCATATTAATGTTCATTCAGCTTACCTTTTTATCCATACCATATTTTTAGATAAAGCATATATTCCTTCAGTCATATATAATAACAATCTTTCATCATGCTTTCTGGAGAGTTCATTTATTGATTGATATAAAGACATGTGAAATTTAATTTGAATGTTCATCTACCCTTTGGTAGCAGTAACATAAATGTCTGAGGATAGTAATTGTAGTTGGGTTTTTTTCACGTCATTATTTAGAACTGAAATTTATGTGAGTGTACATTCATTGGTGTAATCCATATTCTTGTTTCATCTAATTCATTTATTTGTTTAATTTAATCACCATATCATGTTTTGTCATCCAGAATGACACAAGAGGGATAATTTTTAAGTAGTGGGTGTAAAGTTTTAAATATAGTCATTTTAATGTATATACTTTTTATTTAAAATTTTACATGTCCCTTTTTCTAAAATAGTTTGTTTTAAAATTGGGGGTTAAAACCTGCCCTTTTATTCCCGAATTTAATTTTTTATTAATTTATTCCAGTTATCTTTGTTTTTATCAGTTTTAATTGGGTTTGTTTTTTAACCTGAAAATTTATCTTGTAACAAGAATAAAAAAATTCTTTATAAAATTTTAGGATTTCATGGATCTTCTTATTTCTTTTCAATTTTAAATGCCAGAAAAGGGGGGCTGGGGCCCTCTGCTAAAAGTCAATTTTGGTTATTAAAATAAGATTTAATCTGCATCAAATTTTGTCCAAGACGTAATCGGCCCTCCCTTATTCATTTTGCAAATAGATTATCACCTACTCTGCTTCCTGGTCTCTTCTAATGACAACAAACAATTAATATTGTACGCAAATATAGTCTTTATGGTAAACTGATATCACAAAGTTTATATATGAATCATATAAGCACATGTAAAAACTAGTAACAGGTTGCTGTTGCTAAGACAAATCAATAAATACTTTTGAAGTCACTGGTTGCTATGTAAAAAAAGCAATGCTCTCTGTGTTTAGGAAAGCCATTGGTTGCAACAGAAAATCACTGGTTGCTATGGAAAGTCCATGGTTCTTGTGAAAGTCACTGATTACTTATAAAAGTCAATGGTTGCTATAGAAGTTCCTGGTTGCTAAAGAATCATTTCTCTTCTTTAAATGGAAGTCACAAGTTGCTACTCAATTTACCTCTTGCTATGGAAGTCACATGGTTCATGGTTGCTATGAATCAGTGGTTGCTAATGAAAGTCAATGGTTGCAATGGAAAGTCACTGGTTGCTCTGGATTGAAAATGATTGCTATGGAAGACACTATATCCTCTAGGAAAGTCAATGGTTCCAACTGAAGCACTGTTTGTTGTGGAAAGTCTCTCCTTGCTATGGAACTCACTGGCTGCTATGGAACTTACTGGTTGATATGAAAGTAAATGGCTGCTATGGAAGACACCGATTGTTATGGAAATATCAATGATTTCTATGGCAGACAATGACTGTTATGGAAATCACTTGTTGTGGAAAAGTAATTTGGTTGCTATGGAAAATCAATGGTTATGGAATGCCAATGGTTGCTTTGAAAGTCAATGGATGCTAGTGAAATCATTGGTTACTATAGAAAGTCAATGATAGGGTATGGATTTCAGCTATGGATAACCAATTGCTGCTATGGAAGTGAATGTTTGCTACAGTTATCAATGGTTGGGATGGAAAGTTAATGGTTGCTATGGAAGTCACCAATAACTATATGCCAATGATTGTTATTCAAGTCACTGGTTGCTGTTGTTATGGAAAATCAATGGTTGCTATGGAAAGAAGATGGTTGTTATGGAATTAATTGATTGCTAAGGAAGGTCATTGGTCAATATGGATATCAATTGGAGTAAAACAGATGGTCAGGAAAGTCAGTGGTTGCTAAGGAAAGACAATTTGGAAAATATGGAATTTTTTTAAAAGGCTTTCTTATGAATGCTGGTTTATTTGCTTATCTTTCTGGCTGATGACTGTCATTGCATGCTTGTACACCATGCATTACAGTTATTGCTCGTAGGATACTTAAATATGCCCAAATATCTTCAAGAGCTGTTCAGCATGTGGAAGGAAGTGTAATTATATTTTGATAAATTTCACTGTAAAATTATCAAACATGATTTTCATGGATGAATAAGTTATACACTCAAAAGGCATGAAATAAAATTTGAACAAATGTGGGTAGAGGTCAACTAGACAAAGTTTCAGGCCAGAAATTTAGGCTAGGTGGCTCTTATGATTTAAATAAGTTTTTTACCAGAAGACTACATATAAGGAATATCCACGACCCCAAAGAGTATGGCCAATTTTGAAACTAGGGCTATAATTTTAATAAATTTTGTTAAGGGCCACTAAACAATGGTTCATGCCAAATATCTAAGCTTGAGCCTTCATGGTTTTTTAGAGAAGTTTTTTTGTTTAGTTTTATTATATAAATACATGTATATAAGGGAAATTCCACAAAATTTAGACCTCAGGGCTATAAGTTGAACAAACTTGGTACAGGGCCACTAGACAATGTTTCATGTCAATAATTGAAGATTTAGCCTGTATGCTTTTAGAAAAGATTTTCTAAGTTTGTACAAAATACAGATAAGAAAGATCTATGACCCCCTGGGATTTCCAAGCAAACTTGGTAGACATCCACCAGATGATTTTTATGTCAAATATCTAAGCTCAATAATAGCTCTTAAGATTTTAAAGAAGTAGATTTTACTTTTCGTTGCCTTGGCAACAAGAACTCTGCAAGGAATGGATTTCTTTGAACAATTTTTAAAGAGCTTCAAGCCAGGTACATTTAACAATATTGGCCTCTGGATATAGACGATGTTGTTTTAAGAAAATGTTTCAAGCCATTAACAACACTGGACAGACGCACAGTGATAGCAAATGCTCACCTCTTAGCACTTTAGCAGTGCTGTAGTGAGTTGAAAAACAGTCCTGAAATGTCATTGCATCTCTAAATTTACCTGTATACCATAATTTGCTTCTTGCCTTCTTATTTTCATTGGTGCCAACATGATTCAAGTTTATAATTTTGGGGAAACTACATAAGTACTTCACATATAGCCTCCACACGGCAATATCTACCCATTTTTGAATGCCTTAGAAATGAATTTAAATACAAAAATATATATCTTCCTGAAAACTATTTAAAAAGCGTTGGTCAGAGTCCACATTTTTCTGTCAAGGTATGTTCAAATGTTCGTTGTTTTTTGGGGTTTTTTTCGTTTTTGTTTTTTGGGCCAATAAAAGTGTAACTGCTATGTAGACCTTACTCAATACCGGTATTTACGGTAAAGATTTGTAAATAAGTTTGACTCACCTCAAGTCAGAACAAGCTCATTTTGTATCAAAAGAAAATCGTAAATACCTTACAGCCAGACTGACTTCTATAAAGCAGCATGATAGTCAAAAATGGAGTCTTTTTAGTGTCAAGTCCAGAACTTTAAAATAACTAGGCACAAATATTTATCATTTGGTATCTAAAAAATTTTATTATCAAAGGTTATTTTTGGGGTCAAACATTAATTTTCAGACACATGTAGTTTATGGAATATGCATGTATATGGTATATCTCTAACACTGGCTAGAAATATGTTAGTGTTTGCACTGTGACCCTTGCTTTGTCTGACATCATGGAGAAAAATATAATGAACCAAAATATGACAAATTTACAAAAAAGAATTAATATCTGAGGAAGCTTATGGTAACAGATAATTGAAAACAATGTATCGATCTTTTTTCACAAAATATCATTTATTCTGACAAGTTTCTTCTTTATAAGATTGTTCAATATCCAGTACAGCATCTCTCAATGTCTTGTATTCAGACATTTCATTATAAATATGAGCAGATATTCTAACATATAACCTCTGTTGTACACATTTCACTGGTACCTGAAAATAAATAGAGGATAATGTCATTATGTCTATGTTTCTCTCAATAAATTATGTCATCCTCCACCTTAACCTCAATAAATTATGCCATCCTCCACCTAAACCTCAATAAATTATGCCATCCTCCACCTAAATCTCAATAAATTATGCTATCCTCCACCTAAATCTCAATAAATTATGCCATCCTCCACCTAAATCTCAATAAATTATGCCATCCTCCACCTAAATCTCAATAAATTATGCCATCCACTACCTAAATCTCAATAAATTATGCCATCTTCCACCTAAATCTCAATAAATTATGCCATCTTCCACCTAAATCTCAATAAATAATACCATCCTCCACCTAAATCTCAATAAATTATGTCATCCTCCACCTAAACCTTAATACATTATGCTATCTTCCACCTAAATCTCAATAAATTATGCCATCCTCCACCTAAATCTCAATAAATTATGTCATCCTCCACCTAAACCTCAATAAATTATGCCATCCTCCACCTAAATCTCAATAAATTATGCCATCTTCCACCTAAATCTCAATAAATTATGCTATCCTCCACCTAAATCTCAATAAATTATGCCATCCCCACCTAAATCTCAATAAATTATGCTATCCTCCACCTAAATCTCAATAAATTATGCCATCCCCCACCTAAATCTCAATAAATTATGTCATCTTCCACCTAAACCTCAATAAATTATGCCATCCTCCACCTAAACCTCAATAAATTATGCCATCCTCCACCTAAATCTCAATAAATTATGCCATCTTCCACCTAAATCTCAATAAATTATGCTACCCTCCACCTAAATCTCAATAAATTATGCTATCCTCCACCTAAATCTCAATAAATTATGCCATCCCCCACCTAAATCTCAATAAATTATGCTATCCTCCACTTAAATCTCAATAAATTATACCATCCTCCACCTAAATCTCAATAAATTATGTCATCCTCCACCTTAACCTCAATAAATTATGCCATCCTCCACCTAAATCTCAATAAATTATGCCATCCCCCAACTAAACCTCAATAAATTATGCCATCCTCCACCTAAATCTCAATAAACTAGAACTATCACTAAATGTGATTGATACCCCCATAAGACTGCTTCGGAAATGAGGATGTAACTAGTAACAGAATACCTTGTAAAAGAATTGAAACAAGAGCCATGCCATCCCCCGCCAAATGTGTTTGCTCATTGGAAGAATGTATATGTAGTAGAGCAGAATAATTCCATTTTAAGAGGTCTTTTGGTAAAGAAAACTGATGGCTATAGTGATTACAGATTTGAAACCTATGTGAATACTGATGGCTGAAAATAACAAAGGGCAATAATGCAGGGTAGGTTATCATTCTTGTGTGCTGCATCCCTCCTCAGTAAAATCTATCCATCTATGAAGTTTCAAGTTGATACCTCAAATACTTTTTGAGAAAAAAATTGAATTGAAAAATTAAGTATGAAAAATAACAAAGGGCAATAACTCAAAAATTATAAAAGGTAGAGTTATCATTCTTGTGCACTGCACACCTCCTGAGTTAGATCTATGCACCTATGATGTTTCATAATGATATCTCAAAGGCCTTTTGAGTTATGCTTTGGACAAAAATTAATTTTGAAAAATAAAAAAAGGGCAATAACTAAACAATTATGCAGGGTAGAGTTATCGTTCTTGTGCACTGCACTCTTTCTCAATGAGATCCATCCACCTATGAAGTTTCAAGTTGATACCTCAAATACTTTTTGAGATAAGCTCCCGACAAAATAGTATGAAAAAGAACAAAGGGCAATAACTAAAAAATTGTACAGGGAAGAGTTATCATTCTTTTGCACAGCATTCCTCCTCAATAAAATCTATCCACCCATGACATTTCATGTTGACATCTCAAACACTTTTGAGTTATGCTCCACTCGGGTGAAAAATTATGTATGAAAAATAACAAAGGGCAATAACTCAAAAATTATAAAAGGTAGAGTTATCATTCTTGTGCAGTGCACACCTCCTAAGTGAGATCTATGCACCTATGAAGTTTCATTTTGATATCTCAAAGGCTTTTTGAGTTATGCTCTGGACAAAAATTAATTTTGAAAAATAACTAAGGGCAATAACTCAAAAATAATGCAGGGTAGAGTTATCATTCTTAAGCACTGCCCTCCTCCTCAATGAGATCCATCCACCTTTGAAGTTTCAAGTTGATTCCTCAAATACTTTTTGAGATAAGCTCTGGACAAAATAGCATGAAAAAGAACAAAGGGCAATAACTCAAAAATTGTATAGGGAAGAGTTATCATTCTTGCGCACAACATTCCTCCTCAATAAGATCTATCCACCTATGACATTTCATGTTGATATCTCAAACACTTTTTGAGTTATGCTCCACTCAGGTGAAAAATTAAGTATGAAAAATAACAAAGGGCAATAACTCAAAAATTATGAAAGGTAGAGTTATCATTCTTGTGCACTGCACACCTCCTGAGTGAGATCTATGCACCTATGAAGTTTCATGTTGATATCTCATAGGCTTTTGGAGTTATGCTCTGGACAAAAATCAATTTTGAAAAATAACAAAGGGCAATAACTCAAAAATCATACAAGGTAGAGTTATCATTCTTGTGCACTGCACTCCTCCTCAATGAGGTCTATCCACCTATGAAGTTTCAAGTTGATAACTCAAATACTTTTAGAGATATGCTCCGGACAAAAATGTCGGACGGAAGGACGGACGGACAGAAGGTCGGACGGAGACTATTTCTATTTCCCCCGCCGCCTTTTCGGCGGGGGATAATAAAGAGTTATGGTTTTGGGCAATTAAAGATAGTTTTGGTTCTTGTATGTTGCATTTCCTTTCAATGTGGTTGGCCATTGATGAAGTTTTATTGAATTACTCTGTAATAAGTCGAGAAAGACAAAGAGAAGGAACAAAGGGCAATAACTCTATAAATACTGAAGATGGAGTTATAGTTCTTGTGCACTGCACTTCCTCTTTTTGTGCTTGACCATTGTATGAATTTGTTTTGAATTTTAACCAGTACGTTTTAAGTTATGCTCCAGACAAGGAAAAGTATCAAAGGGCAGTAACTCTGTATTTTGTCAAAATGGAGTTATGGCTCTTGTGCACTGCACTTCCTTTTAATGTCCTTGACAACTGTATGAAGTTGTATTGAATTCGAAACAGTAGTTTTCAAGTCATGCTTTGGACAAGGAAAAGTAACAAAGGGCAATAACTCTGTAATTAGTCAAGATAGAGTTATGGTTCTTGTGCACTGCACTTCTTCTCAATGTGCTTGACCATTGTATGAAGTTTTATTGAATTCCAACCATTAGTCTTCAAGTTATGCTCCGGACAAAAAAAAGCAATGGAAAAGTAACAAAGGGCAATAACTCTGTAATTTGTCAAGATGGAGTTATGGCTCTTATGCACTGCACATCCCGTTATTGCGCTTGACCATTGTATGAAGTTGTTTTGAATTCCAACCAGTAGTTTTCAAGTCATGCTCTGGACAAGGAAAAGTAACAAAGGGCAGTAACTCTATTATAAGTCAAGATGTAGTTATGGTTCTTGTGCACTGCACTTCCTCTCAATGTGCTTGACCATTGTATGAAGTTATAATAAATTCCAACAATTAGTCTTCAAGTTATGGTCCGGACAAAAGAAAGTAATGGAAAAGTAACAAAGGGCAATAACTCTGTAATTACTTTAGATAGAGTTATGGTTCTTATGCACTGCACTTCCTCTCAATGTGCTTGACCATTGTATGCCCCGGACAAAGAAAAGTAACTTAAAGGGCAATAACTCTGTAATTAGTCAAGATAGAGTTATGGTTCTTGTGCACTGCACTTCCTCTCAATGTGCTTGACCATTATATGTAGTTATATTGAATTCCAACCATTAGTCTTTAAGTTATGCTTCGGACAAGGAAAATGCAACGGACCGACCAAGCGACCGACCATCCAACCGACCACCAGGTGACTCCTATATACCCCCAAAACTTCGTTTTTGAGGGTATAATTATGCCATCCTCCACCTAAAGGGCATAGAAATAGGTTTAGCTTTGTCCGCCCGTATGTGGGCAAACATCCAATGATTCATTCCATCCATAATCTTCGTAAACAAGGAAGGAAACCACATAAACTGATAGTTTTAGTGTAAATTTTTATTCATTTATGTGGAAAAATATACAACATAAGGGAAAAAGCCCATAAACACTAAACGTTGGTATATACATATGTTCATCCAGTCTATATTTTTTAATAGGTGGCCATCTAACTGTAAACAAAAGAAAAGAGGACAATAGACCTCATTCAGTAATAGTAGAATGAGGGACCACATCCTTCTATTAAATGAAAGAATATATAACAAAAGAAATGGTCCCATATTCCATTTAAATGACGTTTCAATCTGTATTGTGTCCATCTGTCACAATTTACTGAAGTATTAAACTTTTATCTATTTTATTAAGATACCTAAAACTTATATAATGCGATTAGATCTTATTTAGAATTATAGTGCCAAAAAATCATAATTGAGTAATTGCCCTTTGAATTTTTAGCTCGACTATTCGAAGAATATGAGAGCTATTGTAGTCGCCCCGGCGTCGGCGTCTGCGTTGGTTAAAGTTTTTTGTAAAGTCAAATATCTCAATTATTACTTGAGATATTCAATTGAAACTTACAATACTTATTTATAGTAACAAGGTACATCAGATTGACAAGTTGGATAACTCTGCCTACAATATTGACAGAATTATGCCCCTTTTTAACTTAGAAATTTTGGTTAAAGTTTTTTGTAAAGTCAAATATCTCAATTATTGCTTGAGATATTCAATTGAAACTTACAATACTTATTTATAGTAACAAGGTACATCAAATTGACAAGTTGGAGAACTCTGCCTACAATATTGACAGAATAATGCCCCTTTTTAACTTAGAAATTTTGGTTAAAGGTCTTCAAAGATATTTACTTGAAACTTTACACATGCACTTAGGGTCATAATTGTATGTCACTGACCAAGTTCCATAACTCTATCTTGCATTAAGGCTGATTCATATCCCCTTTTCTACTTAGTCTCTTGGTTAATGTTTACATGCAAGTTTTACATATCTCAATAACTATTAAAGATATTTATTTAAAACTTCACATATGCATTTAGGGTCATAATTGTAGGTCACTGACAAAGATCCATAATTCTATCTTGCATTTAGGCTGATTTTTCTCCCCTTTTTCAACTTAGAAATTCATGGTAAGCTGTTATCTCAATAACTACTGAAGGGTTTGTGCCTTTTTTGGGACAATTTTATGCATTCATAATAATAAAGCAGTGATTTACTTGATAAAACATCTTAATAACAAGCCTTTGTACCTTTTCTGTCAAATTTATGTATTCATAGGTAATTAGTATTATTATACTCAATAAAACACCCTTGTGACATTACCTCGAATAGTCAAGCCAATACTGTATAATTAGACTCTCTCTAAGGCCTATAAAATGAATTTATAAAAAAAATAGCCCTTTTGAGAACTTAAAAAATTTAACATTATCAAGGCTCTTTTACTATCAAGCACTTAGAATAGTCGAGCGTGCTGTCCTACCGACAGCTCTTGTTCATACCTACTTTTTCTCCATGGAATGACTCTAGAAGAAATGAAGATACCAAATAACAACTTCATAAATGTATAGTTCTTATTACAGAGAAGTGCAGTGCATAAAAACTAACTCTCAAAAGGAATAATTTTGCAATTTTTCAAACTCTTTTTTTGTGCAGGGCAAAACTAACAATCAGGCTGCTGGCATTTACAGTTATAAACTCATTTTGGTTTTCTGAATACCAAAATAAAAATGGGAGTCAATATGAAACCAATTTTATTACTTTTATATCACAAAATGTAGCTTTTACTGCTTTAATAAAATTATAAAATGTAGCTTTAATATTTAGTTACCTCTATGTTATAATCATGGTATAATGTATTTTGTATAGTTTCTGCCGCAGAATAATCCATATGATCTGATATCTTCTGTAAACCATCTGGCAACCTCACCAAACACATACTTCCTATAAACAGTAATAACTTATTAATTGAATTAATCTTAGAAAAAGAGAAAAAAGATTTTTTTAAAGTCTTACCTGAAAGACTACAGTAAACTCTGCTTATAACGAACTCGTCGGGACATTCAAAATCTGTTCCTTATATCCGGAGTTCCTTGTAAGCATATAGCGAATTAGTTCCTTGTATCAGGAGTTTTTATAGCGAACAGATTTACATATAATGAACTGATTGTTTACCATCGTCAGCCATTTTGAAGAGCATTTGATTAAGAAAAATTTATTTCCTATTTTACCCGAGAGTGTACTTTTTGGAATTTGAAAATCCTTTGCTATTTCAGTTTTAATTTTACTTCCTTTCTCAATTTCTCATAAAATATCATATTTTGTTTCTCAACTCGTTTTTCGTTTTCATTCCATATTTAAGAATAAACAAGATTTTCGCTTTTTCCTTCCTTTTATATTAAATATCTTCTATTATATTTGAAGGGTAACTTTTACTAATGAAAGATATAGATTTCTTTTCATTTCAATCAAGCGTCCTTTGTTGTTTTTAATGGATTATGCTTTAAGGTTCTGCTATACAAATTCATTTTAATAGATGTCTTGAAGTATATACAACAATAAACGGTATATTTGGCCGAGTGCCAATAAAAAAAAAGAAAGTTGAAAATGGAGGATCTATTTACGGATAGCCGATACTTTGTAGGTCATTATAAAAGTGTAATTTTCTGTACTTTTAACTAAATTGGGACTAGAATTGAGTTCCTTATAAGTGATAATACCTTATAACCATGTTCGCTATAAACGTATATTATGATATTAAATAAAGAAGGGCAAAATTCGGGCCAAAATAAATTGTTCCTTATAACCGGAAGTTCGCTATAACCGTGTTCGCTATAAGTGAAGTTTACTGTATTAGTAATTTTATAGTTAGAGTAGCAATCAATCAAACTTTTGAGTCTGTATTTCTTTACTTATGTATTAAAAAAATTATACTAAAATATTAAATCTTGTGTTAGTACTTCTGCATTTCTTTGACTTCATTTGATATTTCAGTAAATATCAACATTAAATTGATCAAATGTCAGTATATAAAGTTTAAATTTTACCAAACATGTCCTCAGGAGCTGCCATCTCTGTGTTCCAACCTTCAAATAACATTCTACCTGTAGTTAACAACAAAAAAACCATCACATAGCATTCTACCTGTAGTGAACAAATATACCTTCATATAACACAGAGATTTTCCTGCTTATATAACAGACTCTGATAAAAGGTCGCTACCCAATTGAAATTTTCTTTTAAATCATGCAGTTTTCCCCCAAAATCTGAACTTAAACCTGCTTTTTTCTTCCCAAATTAGCATTTTAGTGATGATTTTTCCCAAAATCAAGTGGCTAAGGCATCTTCTCAATACAGTAAAAAAAATCACTGTAACATACTACCTGTAGTTAACAAGAAATAAAGCCTGAAGGGGACAGCTGATCTTTGTCTGCACTTGTTCTAGGAGTATAATCTGTTGCTACCAGCTGATTGTTACAGTTAAAATGTTTGGTAAAAAATCAATTATGAACTTTTAATGTAAAATGATATGGACTAATTACAATACACAGTCTGTTACAAGTCATTCTTCAAGATCTAAGTTCTTATATAATTATGTTCTTTAATTGAAGACCTTAAACTGTTTTCTCAATTATAATTCATCATGTCCTCCATCTAACTGTTGTTTTTCTCCAGAAAATGTAAATATTCACCAAAATAGATTTAGATAACATTTTATTCTTTATATATGGCATAGAGATTTCTATTACCTGCTTGCTTACACAAGCCATGCATATACTGGTGAGCTCTGTCCTGGCCTAAACCTTCCCAAAAATCTAGAACTGTGTGTAGAGCTAGAAATGGACTGTAGTCATGTAAACCTACAAACATAATTCAAGATTGGTCATAATAAACTTGTTTTATTAAACTTGTCACAGTACACATATCACAGTATAGTTATCATTATACTTTTGTTACTTTATGATTGACAGAACATGCTTGTGATCACAGTGTGATCGATAGAGTATGCTCCACACAGTATGACTGACAGAATATGCTTTTAACAGTACTGTTTGGGGAGATAACTCCGACACTAAATCACATATTTTTTGCAATATCTTAATTATCTTCCTGTACATTTTAAATGTTGAACCACCTAAACAAAGTTCAGTTCAAAGACCTTGCATTACACTACAAGAATTACATATGAAAATGGAAACTAGTACATCTTTAAGGTCTTGAGTATACAAAACATGGTCTTCTAACCCCACAACAGTAGATAAAGTCGACACTTAATTTTTTAATGTTAAAAAAGACAGGAAAATCAGCATCAATAATATATTTTTACATCTTACATATTTTTTTATTTTTTTTGTTGAAATAAGAACAATTTTTCGAAAATCTTTCCCAAGTCAGTGGCCTGTGGTCAATACATTTCTAACTACCTTATTGTAATTTAGTAAAAAGAACGTTTTGAAGCAGTTTCTGCCAACAAAAAAGTTTGGGTTATTTGAAAATTATTAAAAAATTTACCAACTTTCAAAAGATCATCACATTCTGTCCTGCTCCTATACTACTAGGTGACTATATGCTTGTTTAAAGTTATAACAAAAATATTTATCAAGTGTCAGAGTTATCTATGTGTCGGAGTTATCTCTCCGACCAGTATGATTGAAAGAACATGTTCATCATAGAATGATTGACAGAATATGCTTGTCACGGTTAAATTATGGTAGCCCTAGTTAACTCCTTTATGTGTTTTTATACTTCACTTTTTAATATACATTTAGAAATGGATTTTTTTTTTTTTTAAAAAGCACAACATTATTAATGTTGTTTAACACTTTGAAAATATGCTCAGTCAAGTTTTAAAGACATCAACCTGAACACTTAATTAGAAGAAGTCATTATGGAATCAGGAATAGACATTGATGACATAGCTCTATGACAATAATCTAAGTAGAGCCAAGAAATAGCATACCTGCCCAAATAAACTCTGAATTAAATCCAGAACCAAAACCATGGGAAATAATCAATGGTCTTGTCAAGGTCTGCAACTCTTTTCTGACATACATGAGTGCTGTCCCTTTTGGTGAACAAAACCATTTATGAGCATTTGTAATGTAATAATCTGGATCAAGGGAGGTAATATTTAGAGGGAGAGAACCCAGGCCATGTGCACCATCTATCAATACTGGTACATTCCTGAAATTATAAAGTTATTATCAAATATTGATTACAATGTTTTACAATACATTTTATTTTTAGTCTAAAATAAGATTTTTTTCTATCCATGTATAATGTATAAACATGGATAATATATCCAAATCAAATGCCTCTTGGGAAGATATCTCCCAACAATTATTCTTGTTAAATAAGCACAGATAAAAAGTAATTCCTAGCTTAACAAATGGTCAAAATATCAGAATGAGATAAATTATTCCTTCAGAAAGGAATCTGCCCCATTCTTTGTGTATAGTACTATTATGTTACTGAATATATTTTGATTTTTTTATATATATTTTATGTTACACCAACATAGTAGAGGTCACATGGCAACTTTCCAGCTTTACTGGTGGAGGAAGACCTCTGGTGCCCTCTGTGCTTTATTTCTCACCTGAAAAATCCAAAGACACTTGAGAAGCTCCAACTTACTGACCTTAACCACTCTGCCACAGACACCCTGAACATATTTTGATATTTATATGTTAAATTATTAAGTCTGATTATCATTATTTATTCGTATTGCCCACATGTATTTATGAACTAAATCTGTATATATTTACCTGGATTTACATATGGTGATAATTTCTGTAAGAGGCATGATGAATGGTGTATTACTAGGTATATGATCAAACACTGCCAGACTTGATCCTTCCTTTAAATTCTTATCTACATAATCTATCAACTGTAAAACATACATATTACATGATATTGAATTACACATCACAATAATAAGTTCAAGGGTCAATATTAACTGGTTGATCACAATGTAGTCATTTCCATTTGTTAAGTTCAATTTACTGCCAGTATTACAAATTTTCCAATTGTATGCCAGAAGTCTTGGTAATGACAATTAGACCAATACTAAAAATTAAACATTCTTTAATCTTCACAATATATAAAGTAGATTTTCTTACAGATTTTCACAATGAGTAAAGACTTAGTCATTTAAGTGTGAATCATTGTTTTCTATATAGACTTTCATTGGCTATAAAGCTGTGTTTTACAAAGATTTTGGGTCTTCAAAAAATGGAACATCACATCTTTATAATTGTTCAGTGAAAGATGAAGAATTATTTAATATGGAATGAATGTTACAGGTAGTTTATAACCTGCTGTTTATCTTTAATGGGAAAATCCACTTCCACCTCCTGTAGTTGAGCCCCTGTCTGCTCACATCTCCAACGCAACATTTTCTTTACTGCCCCTATCATAATTAATACAATAATATAGAAACATTAAAACATCTTAGTCCATGTTTGTCAAAAGCCATGTAAGAATTACGAGTCCTGGATAGTGCCAATGCAAAAATAATCCTGTAATGTATGCATGTATTTAGTCTCAATAATGAATACATTCAATGCTGTAGTTAATGAGATATGAAATGGAACACCAAACCTCCACAAAGTCTCACCACATTGTCTAAGTCAGGGGTGAGTAGGATAGAATGAACAAAATAGAAATCTTTTATACCAACCAACATAAAAGACTGAAATCATTGCTGGATGCAGTTTTACATCAAATTTTTCTAATGGTCAAGAAAAAGTTTGAACAACATAGTAATTTTTGACCTTATTTGAGCTATTCAAAACATTTCATTAAATTATATACATTAATATATCCAGTTATTTTCTATTACAAAAATCTTACCATATGTAACATTTAAGATGAAGACATTATCTCCCTGTTTTAGAGGTATGTTCTGTATAACTGTGTTTAATGCAGTAGTAGCATTCTCCACCAGTACAATATCCTTAGCATTGCAATCTGGAAAATATTTGGTAAAATTTAGACTTGTAAGAATTTAAACCAACACTACCACATGAAATAATAAGATAATATAGAAACTGTTTGTCTATGTAAACACTTCTTTCCTACAAGTCATGCATTACCTGAGACAACATGGAAACTGACCTGCAGAGTTTCCATAATGGACTTGTTTTCAAGTTTAAGAGATTTCAGTATTAAAATACAAATACTGAACTTACATTAGTATAGAGTCTTGTAAGACTGCACAAACATTAAGGCAGGTCAGCTTCCTGGAACCAACCAGTACTGGTTCATATAATGAAACATGGTCGTGATCCGATTTATAAGGGCTCGAACCCATGGTCCCTGGGCTTAGAGGCAGACACCTTAACCACTAGGCCACCACTCCCCTTAAAGCTCACTGGTGGCAAAGGTTTATCACTTTCAGTTCCAGCAATTATTGGTTTTCTGTCCTCGCAATCCTCAGCTATCAAGTTTTTTGTGATAAATCAGTGAAACATACTTATAAATTTAGCAATCCTTCTTGTAACATGGACAAGTCGAGGCAATAGCTCCCTGTCATAAAATCTTAGTGGTTGTCTTTCTGTCCATATCTGGTATTTCTGAAACATAACAGTGTATACTATAATACAATCAAAGCACAGAAGGCGCTGAATTTGTTTGGGTCTCAGAAAGTCAGAAAGGTGAAGGTTGTGAGATTATAAACCAATTTGTTTTTGTATAGTGCCACTAATGCTTTCCAGCGTTTTAATTGTAGTTAACTGGCTATAAGACTAATTGCAACACTGATATTCAATTCAATATTTATTTGACTTAAACAATTTGAAAAAAAATATGTCGCCTTCACTGGGATTAGAACTGGAGACCTCTCGCTTCCCATGCGAGCGCGCAAACCCCTCGGCCACGGTGCAGTTATATGTAAATGGCCTGAAGAAAACCATATTATTCTAAATTAGGGTTTGTAACCCTTATTATTTCGACTTTAACACAGATGTAAATAATCATGGAGCTTACTATAAGCAAAGCATGTATATCTATAAAGAATGAAACAATATTAGAAATCTTCGACCATTCGGGAACTATTTTGCTTGATAATTAATGCGCCTGTCATTTGACCATCTTTACGCAGTGATCTCCCCTGAATTTTTCGGCTTTAGTGTACATAAAGGGAAGTAACCGCTTCAAAAAAGCGGACTACTTTCGGCATTTACAATTAACAGCATCAGAGTCTGAAATTTCGCTACCATTATTTGTTTGGTCTGACGACCCAAATAAATAATAAACCAGAGCAATATAATTTCAATAACAAGTTGAATATTATATTGAAGCAATGTAATTTTAATGTTTATAACAGGTTGAAACATGGCTGAGTAATGTTATTTTAATAATAAATTGTATAATTTACTAAAAAAATTTTTTTTTTTAATTGCTTGGTTTTATGACACATCTACACAGTAGAGGTCATATTGCGATTTTCTAGCTTTACTGGTGGAAGAAGGCCTCACATGCCCCTCACTGCATTTTTTCCAGGCATGAACAGGCACCTGAGTAGGACCACCAACATTCAATAAGCTATCTGGAAAGCTTTCTTACATGAAAGAGTCCAACGATCCTGGCAGCATTAGAGCCCACAGCCATGGGCCACAAATATATCTTAGTAATGTTATTTTAACAATTTATAACAAGTTGTCCAATATACCTGGGTAATGTTATCTTAAAAACAAGTTGTATCATATAACTGAGCAATGTTATTATAATAACAAGTTGTATCATATAACTGAGCAATGTTATTATAACAACAAGTTGTATCATATAACTGAGCAATGTTATTATAACAACAAGTTGTATCATATAACTGAGCATTGTTATTATAACAACAAGTTGTATCATATAACTGAGCAATATTATTATAATAACAAGTTGTATCATATAACTGAGCAACATTATTATAATAACAAGTTGTATCATATAACCGAGCAATGTTATTATAACAACAAGTTGTATCATATAACTGAGCAATGTTATTATAATAACAAGTTGTATCATATAACTGAGCAATGTTATTATAATAACAAGTTGTATCATATAACTGAGCAATATTATTATAATAACAAGTTGTATCATATAACTGAGCAATGTTATTATAATAACAAGTTGTATCATATAACTGAGCAATATTATTATAATAATAAGTTGTATCATATAACTGAGCAATGTTATTATAATAACAAGTTGTATCATATAACTGAGCAATGTTATTATAATAACAAGTTGTATCATATAAATGAGCAATGTTATTATAATAACAAGTTGTATCATATAACTGAGCAATATTATTATAATAATAAGTTATATCATATAACTGAGCAATGTTATTATAATAACAAGTTGTATCATATAACTGAGCAATGTTATTATAATAACAAGTTGTATCATATAACTGAGCAATATTATTATAATAATAAGTTATATCATATAACTGAGCAATGTTATTATAATAACAAGTTGTACCATATAACCGAGCAATGTTATTATAACAACAAGTTGTCCCATATAACTGAGCAATGTTATTATAATAACAAGTTGTATCATATAACTGAGCAATGTTATTATAACAACAAGTTGTCCCATATAACTGAGCAATGTTATTATAACAACAAGTTGTACCATAACTAGCAATGTTATTATAACAACAAGTTGTATCATATAACTGAGCAATGTTATTATAATAACAAGTTGTATCATATAACTGAGCAATGTTATTATAACAACAAGTTGTCCCATATAACTGAGCAATGTTATTATAATAATAAGTTATATCATATAACTGAGCAATGTTATTTGTAATGAAAGGTGTATGAAATACCTGAGCAATGTCTAGAGCATCTTTCAACACCCCACCAAATGCTCCATGATTTAAAAAGACACAGTCCTGAAAAAAAAATGCAACAGCTAGCTCTTGTGAGTATACTTCAAGCTCACTTCAATAACCACATCAATTAAGGATCACATCATATGAATGAAACGTGTCAATAGTGCATTTTATTTTCTATTTGAACAAGATGTGGAAAAAGCAAGAAAAAACAAGAAAGCCATAATGGCACTACATCGTTCACCTAAAATCTATTGCTAGGAAAGGTCTTAATATTGTTGTTGCAGATAAGTAGATAATTGGGTAACCTTGAAGAGTGTCATTTTTGCCCCCAGAGGCATTTTTCATACATATTGAAATACTCAAGATCTAGGACAGGTGGTTTTCTAGAAGTGAATTTAAATTTGAAGGTTGAGGCATTGTAGTATCTGAATAGATTTTTAAACAGTTTTATGTAATAAAAGTGACATCAGGGCTGACCATTTTATACCCCAGGGATATTATTTAATCCCTGCGGTCTAAATTTGTAAAGGTCCAATTTAGGCAATGCTACATGCAAATGCTACATGCTTCATATCTTAGCTCTGGATAATGTAATTTCACACAAGAGGGTTAAGTAGGGTTAGTAGGTTATGTTTCCTATGAAAGCCTAAATAAATTTAGAAAGCCACGCTGCATTTAATGAGCTAACTTTATAGGCACGGCTTATAAAACTTTGTAGTGGATCGTAAGGTGATGCTACACGTCAAATATCTCTGCTCTGATATTGTAGTTTCAAAGTAGAATAATTCTGAGATATGTAGTACATTTGTATATATAAGACTTATAATACATGTATTTGATGTATAAATATATAATTCAATATAATTCCACAGGGAGTTCCACTGTTGGCATGAAATCATTTGTTAATAAAATAAATAATTTACACCAATGTTCTACTTACATGTTAATTTCTAAATGCTATTTTTTTACCAAATTAATATTTAATAATGTACCTCTAAAAGAAAATGCTTTTGTTTTATTTCTTTCCCAAATATTGGTGGATTTGACTTGTAAGTTTCAAACAGCTCACATCTAAACGGCAATTCTGGAGGAACATATTCATCCTGAAAGCAAAGTTTATACAAAAAGTTCAATACACAGTGTTTAAAATGTCCATATAAAACAAAAAGAAAATGTTAAATGAATCCCTGGTATGATTTACCTGAAACTATGTTGATATGAAGTTAAGAATCATGCTAGTCATGACATGGTAATTGAGTATAGTATTTAGCTTAGAGGTAATATTTTATTGAATGCTGATCGATGATCACTTAGATACAACTTGTCTATTCTAACTTATGACAAACATGCATCGGTGCTTTTCCGCCGAATTTTGTGTAATGAATGACCAGAGGCAAGGATTAAATTTATTAACAAGCGCTGTGTGATACGTAAAGATATGTGCATGCCGTAAGTAAAATGCGCAGCGATTAAGTATAAGATTACTTTGCATTAGGTTATTTATTTTAATTTTTTTTACAAGAATTTGAAAATCCAAAAATTCAGGAACCCAAGAAAATGCCCGTTTTGATAAAACCACGAAATTTCATGCCCATCATGCATGAATATAAGTGAATTGGCCGTATTTTATTATTTAGCATAATTTCATACAAATTGCTATTTGTAAATACACCATTAACTAATTGTGAAGAAGAATATAAGAAGCAAAAATAATCTTTAAGCAGATATCTACATCCAGTAGGGTACTTCAACAGTTCAATATCATGTGATAAATAATTTTCAGAGAGATACATAATGTACTTGAAAACTGTTGACTGTTGAACAGTAATGTCAGTAAAAGTTTTTATATAAAGAAATTTTACATTGACAATTTTATATCAGTAGATTAAGCTGTAAAATATACTTACATCTTGTATATCAAGAAGTTCCTGGACATTTGATGAATGAAATGAACCAAAGTCTCTCTTTGCTGCACTCATATTCTAGAGGTCAATATCTAGTACACGTATGTCATTATTTCCCGCCATCTGTCAATTAATGCACAAATTTAATTATAATTGACTAAAATAGGGTCTTCGTTTTTGTATCCGTTTGGTAAAAAAGATGAATGGATAATCATATATAGTAAGTTTAACATTTCAGTAATTATTTTACAAAGTCGAGATTAACTTTTGTGGATGATTTTCAACATCAACAAACAGGAACGATAACTTTGGACAAACAACAACCCGGAAGTGGAATTTGCACATTGAAAACATAATTCCATTCTTTCAATTTGCATGTAAGTACTGTGAATTGTCAGCATTGCAGCTTCAAATGTGTTTAATGATTTAATATTTGCCTGTAAGCTTTTATTGTTGTGCTCTTTTATTTCGAGTTTATGTTAATTTTTCAATTTTATCAAGTGTAACTATTATCGGATAGTATCAGTACAATATGATAACCATCTGACAGCATTATGATGTTAGTTTTCTATTTAATAATATTTCTATTATATAGTACGGTATTGTCTTTTTTTAGTCTAAACATTTATGATTAAACAGCTTTCATTTGAAATGCAAACATGTTTATTTTTCAATGTTTTTTTAGCCTGTAAATCTAACTTGTCATATTATATTAAAGGAACACTGATTAAATTTTTATTACAGTACATTATACAGTGTATTTTTTTTGTTTTCCCATTGATGTCAAACCCCAATTTGGGAATCTATAATCTATGCATCTTTATTGTTTTACAAATTTCAGATAACAACTTAGATGTAATTAAGGGTAATAAGTTCATAAAGTGAAGTATGTTTGGGGCAGACGCTGCCCAGGCTGCCATACTGGACTATGACAGTCAGCGCACTGAATCCAAGCACCAAGATGCATTTGACTACTTGTTTCCAAAGTTTATACATCAGTCACCATGGCAACAAAGTGGTCAGAGTAGAAATAAACTTCATGTAGAAGACTTCATTCTAATAGCAGAGTTTTCTGAGCAAGAGGGTCCAAGGCCAGTGGTAAAATATGTTGACATTCTAGTCGGTTTGTTGGTTCATTTTTATTTATTCTTTTCTTTCAAAAAGAATAACAACAAAAAAGTTAATGAATCTCTTGGTTCCTTAACGTTTGAATTACAATTTAAGTCTGATTGTCTCTGAATAACCATATATTTTAATTTCATGTATGGTGCAACCCAAATGTAATTATTTTGAAGTATTCTTGAATAAAATTAGTTTAAACTATTTATTTAAATTTGATTGTAGAAATATATTGTAGTTTATTTAAAATACATTTGAGTCTGCTTCCTGGAACTTGTTAGTACTGGTGTCATATGAGGAAACCATAGTAGGCCTCTAGCTATGGATCATTGTCATACATGTACATGGTTTTTACTAAACAATTTCTTAGACGAGAGGCACACACCTCAACAAGTAGATCTCTGATCCCCTTCAATTAAAATGTATTCCAAACTAACGTTTGTTTAAGTTTATAATAAAATTTTATAATTTTTTTACATCTTAGATTGTCATACCAAAAGATGGTGGGCAAAATTTTGACCAGAATGAGTTTTCTGTTAAAATATTGGCTGTAGATCACCAGTCTTCTATTGTAGAGTAAGTCAATCTTTAACTGAAAACATTATGTAGCAATATCACTTTTTAAAGGTCAAATGATTCTTTTAAATAATATTTCCAAAACAGTAATATTATGTTGTTTCCATACTCTAGATCTAACACATAATGTGGGGCGTCCGTGGCTGAGTGGTTAAGGTCGTTGACTTCAAACCACTTTCTCCTCACCGCTGTGGGTTTGAATCCCAACAAGGACTTTAGATTCTCTCATGTGAGGAAGCTAACCAGCTAGCTAACGGAACATTGGTGGTTCTACTCAGGTGCCCCTTCGTGCCTGAAATAATGCACTGGAGGGCATCTGAGGTCTTCCTCCACCAGTAAAGCTGGAATGTCGCCATGTGACCTATACTATGTCAGTGTGACGTAAAACCCAATTAAACAAACAAACTAACACATAATGTGTCTGTTAATTTAGCGCACATAAATATTGTACTGTTAATAAACACAAATAAATATTGTACTGAAACAGAATAAAAATGTGTCAGAGCAAAATATAATGCTGCTATTTTAAGTAGAATTTTGATATTTTAGCAATAATAGTGTGAATGCACAATTTCATGGAAATTTGTTCTGTATTACAAACATTATATTCAATAAGTGACAAAACAGCGTAAAAGCATAATTTTAGATTTATATTAAATAAGAATTGTGTTTGTTATATTACAGAGGTTTTGAAGTTACAGAAGATGCTCAGGTTGTAATGACTGATCCTGATACAGACACAAATGCATTTGTAAGTAATAGTTTATACAGATTTATTTAAGCTAGATTGCGAAACAAGTTCATGCAACTTCCATTAATCTCTGTCCAGTTCACTTCCTGGTACTGGTGTCATGTGAAGAAACATGGTTGTGACCCGATTAGGGCTCAAACCAACAATCCCTGGGTTGAGAGGTATAAATGTACCTGTTTTATAACAAAAACTGTGTACAAACTGTTCATTTTGATATTGTTTACTGAATTGCAAACTGAAAGGTATAGATAGTGATCAAAAAGGAACTATATTGTCCCACAAAATTAGAAGGAAAAAGCTGATTATTGTATTTAATAACAAGCTGGTGATTGTGTCATATTGAGGTAACCATCTTGTAATTGTTGACATTACATTTAATGCATTTTGTTTAGTCAGATATCTGCCTAGTGGGTAGTGGACAAGGCTATGTATATTTATCACTGATTTCTGAAGTGATTTCTTGAAGTCAGCAATATTCACTGGAAACAAAATACTCATTGTTCAACAATGTTTATACTGCATTTATACAGTAAACATTTACTTGTCATTTGTTTGGGGTTTTTTCAAAGAGAATAGGAAGTTAAAGAACTGTTTTAAACTGTTTGCTATCATCATAATTATGAAAGTTTTATATATTTTAGATTCACCACATTGTATTAAATGATATACAAGCTAGAGGTTATGTGAGACCATTCTGTATCACCTATGTTACAGCAGATCCTCTGTAAGTTATCTTGTTTAGAAAAAAGTCATAAATTTGATAAAGCCATAAAAACTATGAAATAAAATACATTACAACAAATAATATATTGAGTGCAACTGAAATTATCATTTTCTTTAATTATCTCATCTAACATTATAATACGCACACACAAAATGTTGGCGTATTATGTTAATATGCACCTGGACAGCCACCTGTCTGTCTGTCTGTCTGTCTGTCTGTTAGCAGTTTTCGTATCTGGTCTGTATCTTTTGAACCTGTATAAGGAAATTGAAACTACTTTTGCAATAATGTTAATGATAACGTGACAATATGCAGAGCGCAGGTTTGACATTTCTATATTTGGCATATGTTTTATTTATTTATTTATTATCCCCCACCGATGGGGGATATCCATCCGTCCCACATTTTTGTCCGGAGCATATCTCAAAAGTATTTGAGGTATCAACTTGAAACAACATTTTCAATTTTGTTGTGTTGGACTTTCTTTAGAGATTTTGCTTTTTTTCTCTATTTAAAAGGTAGATAGATAATATTGAGGAGGAGTGCAGTGCACAAGAATGATAACTCTACCCTGCATAATTTTTCAGTTATTGCCCTTTGTTATTTTTCAAACTTAATTTTTGTCCAGAGCATAACTCAAAAAGCCTTTGAGATATCAACATGAAACTTCATAGGTTGATAGATCTTATTGAGGAGGAATGCTGTGTGCAAAAATGAAAACTCTACCCTTTATAATTTTTGAATTATTGCCCTTTGTTATTTTTCATACTTTTTTGTTAGGATCTTATCTCAAAAATGTGAGAGTAATCAATTTGAAACTTCATAGGTGGATAGATCGATAGTAGTGCGGCACACAAGAATGATAACCTACCCTGCATTATTTTTCAGTTATTGTTATTATTTGGCGGGGGATGGCCATGTGAACATGGCTCTTGTAAGTCTAAGATTTTACAACTTTTTAACACTGGAGTCTAAAAATTTATTTTATCTTGTTTATCTTTTAAAGACTTTGATTACATGTTTCAGGAAGATAATGAAGTGCTATGAGGAAATATCATGTCAGATGAGAAAGGTATGTATGATATGAGCCGCGTTATGACAAAAACAACATAATGGGTTTGCGGATGCGCAGTCTGATCAGGATCCATGCTGTTCGCTTACAAACCCTATTACAAGTAGAGAAACTGATAGCGAACAGCATGGATCCTGATCAGACTGCGCAGAGGCGCAGGCTGGTCTGGATCCATGCTGGTCGCAAACCCATTATGTTTGTTTTGTCATGACAAGACTCAAATGTCCTTTTATTTGAATTAATATAGGACCTTTACCAACATTATACTGTTGTGTTATTATTAATTTGTTGCTGGAATCCCTTCAACTACTGGTGAACTATTTCAAGTAGCTCTATCGTCATTTGCATAATTTCAGCATAATAATGATTAAATCATTTTTTTGTTCCTATGTTGTTAAATTTTTGAATTTTTATATACACAGCTATTGTGACATGTATAAGATCAATGATTATGAATCATAAAAATGGTGTTCTTGCCAGGAATACTTGTTAAGTATGTTTGAAAAAGAATTGTTTATGGTTATAGGTAGCCAGACTGATGAAGTATGGGAACAGACTTGTATTTATGAGAGATCTGGAAAAACATCTGGAAGATCTGAGCTATACTAAAGGTGAGATAATTACAGGTGTTCTGTCCTTTAACCTGCTCAAATCAGAAGTGATTAGCCTTTACCACCAGTATAGAGCCAGGCTGTATTGTACCATTAACGGGTCTGTGGCTGAGTGGTTAAGGTCGTTGACTTCAAACCACTTGCCCCTCATCGCTGTGGGTTTGAATCCCAACAGGGACTTTGGATTCTTTCATGTGAGGAAGCTATCCAGCTAGCTTACAGAACATTGGTGGTTCTACTCAGATGCCCGTCCGTGCCTGAAATAATGCACGGAAGGGCACCTGAGGTCTTCCTCCACCAGTAAAGCTGGCATGTCTTCAAATGACCTATACTGTGTCGGTGTGACATAAAACCAAATCAAACAAACAAACATTGTACCATTAGATGAGTGATTCCATGTTAATGATCATAACCAATCAGCCCTGGTTTTAGTATAACAAAATTAAAATCAGGTTTTGACTCTGCTGTGATGAAATCTTCATATACTCTCCATTACATACAATCTATATGATACAAAATAGCTGTGTGCATATGACATGTTTTATATTCTTTTAAGTTTAAAAGTATTTATGACATGTATTTATACCTTATGTTTCCTAACAGTTGTAGTATCCATTGTCATGTACACAATAATAATGGAAAGAAGGATAAGTTATGAAATATGTTACCTCTGTAATATAATTACAAGTAAAGTTTCATGTACAGTACAAAAATGAGAAGATATTGTTTGTTTTATCTCCAGCTCACTTGTTGTTGTCACAGAATAGGAACCAGGTGTCATCACAAGGTGATAATGATCTACTTAATGCCCTGAATACATTGAGACAATGTATGGAAGAGGTGAAGGACATCCTGTCTAACCTCAGACCTGCATTACAGGTACCTGACTTTTATATAACCTTCTCTGGTATCAATAATATTTGTCAGAAATTTTTACATTTTAATTGATTGAAGCACTTTTTATATGTGCCACTAGACGTTAGTATAAATACTTCAACCCTGTCCTGGTATTAAACTCTGCACCTTGTAAGCCTTGAGCGGACACTTTATCATGTTGTTATAAAAAATTGCTTTATATTATGAAAACATAAATTCTGTTTATTTAGCTCTTCCTTGTTGCATACACCCCAAACATTTAGCATTGCATCATAAATTCTTGTAGTTGTATTGAAAGTTGTAAATTTTCACTTTATTTACCACTTCTTTACTTTGGAAGCCAATGATTAAATATATTCAATCCTGTGCTGGAATAAAACTTTTCACTATTGAATCATAAGGTGTACATTTGACCATGTTGCTATAAAAACCATCATTCTGTTTTGCAAGGAAAAGTGTTTCTTATACATTAGTACATGATATTCAGTCAATAGATATTACTGTGATTGCAGGAGAAGTTATTTTGATTTCTTTTTCTTTTCTTTTTTTTTGGGGTGGGGGGGGGTCACATTTATTCAAGATTCAACACAGTTGAAGTATTATCTCAATGAATCTAGAGATAAATTTATAAATTTATGTTATTATTAATCATGAATTCATTGTAGGCGATCAAATATTTTAATTTCTAATTATAAAAGATATCACGTTAAGGTGTTTCATATCTAGGTAGATACAGAGCTGTCAGAGAGGTTTCAGTATTATGAGAGGGAGTTAAGAAGTCAAAGACATAAAGATGATGTTGATTCTGATACATCAAGCTTGAAAGAATTTGGTAGTAAAGATGATTTACAATATACAGACAACCAGATATGTAAGTTTATTTGTTTTTATAATGTCTGAAAGCTGCATGCCTCCAGATCAGTCAAAATATTGCAAGAAAATCAAACTTGAGAAATACTAAGATTTTATAAAAAGAAAAAATATTCAAGAGTTACATGTAATGCATATTCATGATGTACATGTTGTGTGTGACCATATTTCTACTGCATGACTAATGCAGTAAGGGCTATTTTTGCATATTTTGACCTCTTCCTGGTAATTTACGTGGATTGTAAGTGCAGTTTGCAATATGTAAATTACTTTCTTTGTTCTCTTTACAACATTATACTTTTAAAAACATTTTCAAAATTTGCATGAAAATTAGCATGAATCTGGAAGCTTTAACATCAAAATGTTCATAGATCTGAGAATGTGACACATCCAAATATTGTTTGAATATCACAAATTATATTATATTACAGTTGGTTCCTAAAATGTTAAGAATGTCACATGGTTATATTGATATGTTACAGTTGGCTCTAATAGTGTAAGAATGTCACTTAATACACTTGTTACTATGTATAGTAACAAATTCGCCTATGGCTTCAACTGATTATGAGTGTCATGTGACCTATTATGAGTTTGCGGCCCGGGGCCAAGAACTAGTTATCAGCCCACCAAACATGTACACGTGCACAAACTGAAACAATGACGTCATATTTTACGTCATCAAACAGTTAACTGTAAAAGTGAAAGTAGGTTTTAAGCACTAATCGCTTGATTTTATTATGAGAGCTTAAGCGTATTTCGTACAAACACAGTTTTATTACTATTGAAATTTAAAGAAATAATACAACAAATTCATTCCGAAAAAAATGAAAATAAAACTTGCTTCTAGATCCTACAGTAGTGTACTTTTAACACACAAAAAGTAAACAACTCTGTAGAAGTTACTGAACTGTACAGTAGTCTACAGTAGAAATGCAGACAGGAATTTCAACGAAAGAAATTTCAAAGTTTTATTAATAGAAAAAAATGCTACTATTAGATCTACCAAGTGTATTAAAGACATTAATACACGTCATAGTTGTGCCAGAAGGTGATAATCGGCCTCGGAGCCATTATTCATTTTGACGGCCGATTATCACCTTCCGGCCCTACTCTGCTGTGTATTAATCTTTTAAATACATGAATTGTATTACTGTCATATTACAACTGGCCCATATAGTGTTACAATGTCACAAATATTGTTATATTGCAGCTGGCTCATATAATGACAGATCATCAGAGTTTAGTCTATTTAGTAAAGTTAAAGATCAAAAGGTAAATATTGTACAAATATTTTTATTAAATCTTTAATACATGTAATTTTTATAAGTGTATAAATAATTGGTATTGATAAGAACAAAAATTATCAAATATTTGTCGGATATTGTTAAGGCATTCACATGTAAGGAACATTTATTTATTTAATTAGTTTCCTCATCAGCTTTATTAATATCGTAGTTACAGTTGATGTTGGTATATAAACTTGCTCTTTGAAGTACATTGTATATATGAAAAGTTGGATTGATTGAAATTCAGTGTATTAATTTTTCCTCCTTTGTGTTACATTTATTACAAAATTTGAATACTAAAATTTATACATAAATTATTTTCAGCCTAAATTACTAGATGTTAGTACTATACGTGGTAAGAGAAGATTTGATCGTTCACTACGTGGTCTACATGAGTTGTGTTCATGGGGTGCTAAGGAAGGTCTACAGAGGCTTCGTGCATTTAGAGAGGTAAAATAACACTAGATTTTAATGTTATATCTGATTTTTTAGATATGAATTGTTCAGATGATATAAGTACATTTACTTTTACATATTAAAGGGACTCATCTGAGGTTTTTTGACATGATGGGACTGAAGATAATATTTCAAGATTAATGTATCATTTGATGTAGTTCTAGAAAAGTAACTTTTGTGCAAAATTTCAGCTCTCTCCGTTTTTTCAGAATGATTATTCTGATTGTCAACAAGAGCGATCAGTAATCACATGTGTCGCCTCAAGATGGCCAATTTCATGTTGGGACAAGTTTTTTGACAGATGGACAAACAGACGGACAGTGCACAACTAGACTTGGTACTGATCATTCCTGTAAAGTTTGGATAAAATTGCACCAGTAGTTTATGAGGAGTAGTCCGGACAAGCTTTTGTATATCTGGCCACACACAGAAAAAAAACACTTTTTATCAAAGGGCCGTAACTCGACCAAAAATCATTAAACAGGAAAACCCATTCAATATGCGCAAGGACTTGAGCTACAGATCAATCCTGTAAAGTTTCATTGAAATTGCATTAGTGGTATAAGAGAAGTAGTCCGGACAAACTTTAAAAATAAAAATTATTAAAGGGCCATAACTATGACAAAAATCATTGAACTGGAAAATGCTGACAATATGCACAACTAGACTTGGTACTGATCATTCCTGTAAAGTTTGGATGAAATTGCACCAGTAGTTTATGAGGAGTAGTCCGGACAAGTTTTGTGACTGACGGACAGACAGACAACGACGGAGAAGTGATCCCTATATGTCGCCACTACTCCGTAGAGGCGACACAAAAATGACCGAAATTGAAAAAAAAAATCCTGAAATACATGTTTGAAAGAAATATGTTTGTATCAATTGTTTGTATTGTTTCGATCAAATAGGGCCTGTACTAAATCATTGCTGACCAGTTAAAAATCCTTAAATTTGCAGCAAATGTATTTAGTTCCGGAAAATTTTAATCTGTTTACTTAAAGTATTCATGTGTGTTAGATAACAGAGACATTTTATGATACAACTCTTTAGTTATGCACTATAAGATTATGGAAGCAACAATGAAATAATTTTAGCAATTTCTTTAATTTTGAAGAAAAAAACATTACTTATGACTTTATATCTACTTTAAGATAATGTATCAAGAAAAACCTGTATAAAGACATGTACTTTATAACCTTTTTTAGGAGAACTTCATTTTTTATTGTACTTTTTTTTCAGTTTTTAAAGAGAGATTTGGCCAGTATTTATGTGGATGAACTAGACATGTCAGCTCTAGGTAAGGTTTCCATCAGCAAAAAAACTTTGATTTAACTTGTCTTAACCTTAATGAAAATTATATTTGAATTCAACTGACTTAATCATAAGCAAATTTATGTGACCAGAAGTTGTAAGCTGTTAATTTTTCCTTGCATAAAGTCTTTTATTTATTTTAAAGACTTTTATTGACTTTTTTGGATGTTTTAAATTAATAACGAATAGAACTACCCATATTCCTTACACATCTTCCTCACCTGAAAAAATTCCCTGCAGGATTCGAACCTATCACAGTGAGAGGCAAGTAGTTTGGTGTCAAAAACCTTAACCACTCAGTTATGGTTAACCTCCCCACATCCTTTGTTTCAATGACTATTTTCAGCATAATGTCATGTATTCATTTTGTTAGCTAGAAATCTCTACAGGTTTTATTATATAATGTTTGTAAAATCAGTATATGTTTGATTAAAGTTCCAGAGAGTGGTGTATTATGTTACAGTAATAATACAGTTGGTGCTAATTTCTTGTCAACATCAGGCAGGTTGGTATACATTACTGTACTAGAATCTTGCTGTATTTATATACCTTATTAAAATGATTGTAACCAATTGCTAAGGTATGTGATTTTCCATTTAATATTGCCATGGTAACCCAAAACATTGTTTCAGTCAAGTATATAGGCCATAGAAATAAACAAATCCTGGTATGAGTTCAAGGTACATTATGCCTCAGCAACCAATATACATGTATTTTTCCTTCTTTAGAAAGGACAAAAATGTTCATTAACATTTAAATAATGGTTATAAAGCATCTTAGACTCTTATCAACTGTAGAAAGAAGCACTGATGGGAAATTATTTGTCAAAAAAGCAGCATAATGTAAACAAAATAGTAATTTGACTTCAATACAAAATACTTAATCACTACAACTAAACTTTTTGCCAAAAAGCAACAGAAGCAAAGGATTGTTCAGGCATTTTGCCCGAGAGTTATTCTTTCAAAAATATTACTGGATAGTGGAATCCAGAATAAAAACTTTTTGAAAAGTAAGAATAAAATTATTTTTTGTGGCATATATATAATGGGCCTTTAACATGTTTTATTTGACTTGCATAAACAAGTAAATGATACATGTATCACTGCAAGGTAAGTCATGTGATAAATCATAGATTTACTGTGTTTATTTAACCTTTATCCTCATATAGACGTGTTTTGACGGCTTCCTCTCCCCCCCCCTTTTTTTTGAGGCCTCAAACAGTGAAAAAATGTCCTATTTAGGCCCCAACACTGATTTCATTTGAGAAATGTTGTTATAAAATGTGATCCCTTTTCGGCCCCGCCCCCATCAAAATGATACATCAGGGGGTTGCCAGAAGGGGGATGTGCCCCCTTCTGTTTTGGGGGTTGGAAGGAGGCAGCAGTCCCCCTCATTGCCAAGATATTTTGTGACAGGCTAAAAATGGCCTCAGGTCGATCTTAAGGTAACGTGTAACCAACGCTGAAAAGCCTTTTACTCTATCTCAATGCATTGAGAAGTTGCAGCACTTTGAAATCAGTTTTGATGGAAAAAAAAACAATGCAAAATAGTGATTTTTCGCAATTTTGAGACATCCCCCATTGCCATGGTAACAGGAAATTTAAGATTGAGCATGCTGTTACAGAGGTTATGGTTCAGTCAACATTTGTGCCAAGTTTCATCAGTATTGAAGCATTTTTCATAGTTTTATAGCAGTTTGAACTTGTAACAGGAGGCTTTTCAATGAAAACAGCCATTTTTCACAATATGCTCATGTGGTAAAAGGTTAAATTTTCAGATAAGTTAGACATACATGTAATGAACACTTATGATGCTTTTGAATTAATATCTGTTGTTTTCTTTATATAACAGTATCAAGAATTCATGCTGTTTGAAGAGGAAAGTATCAGAGGTGGCCTTCCATCATACTGGCTTAACATCGGTAAACTGTCACTTTATGTTGTTATACTGACTTAATACTGGCTTGACATTGGTGAACTATTATATCATTTTGTTTATTTTCCTTCTTTTAACCTCTTTATTAGTGTAATTTTGCAGATGTATCAAGTTTATTTATTTCTTCCTCGTGTAACAAACATCTCACTAGAATTTTGGAAATAAACCGAACTGTTTTAAAACGAAGGACAAGTTTTAACGATGATAACGCAATTCTTTTGTCTATAAAAACATGCATATGTCAACTCGACGATATTGCTGTATTCACTATGCTTATCTTTTTTTTTGGCAGCTTGGATCAGTGGACAGTTTCAAGTCACTCTCGTCATCATTCCAGTCATTCTATGACGAAGATACAATGTATTCTGCTAACTCCAGTATGGTAGAAACATCTGCAAGTGCCTACGGTTTTGAAAGGTATTCCTGATTATGATTATTTTAATATGGAAATAGCATGTATGGTAAAAACCAGATAGGGAAATATATTATGGTAAAATTAAGAAGACTTTTTTGAAGAGAAAAGGAGCTATTGCTACAGTTATGTTGATGTTGACATTGCTGATGTTGTTGCAAATTGTAAACTTTTATGTTTGTCATAATTTTTTTATTAGCACGAATTGAAAGGGGAAAATAAGAACTGTTGCTAGAGTCATGGTGTGGTTGACTTGGCCATTGCCATGTGCAAACTTTAACTTTGGTCATAATTTTTTTATTTCTCAATGGATTGCCTTCATACTTGAAAACAATTACCCTTTAGACAAATCGTTCAAGTTGAACAGAGTGAACTTGACATTGATCATAAATGACCTAATTGTTTATGACCTTCATTCCTTAATGACCTAGATCTTGAAGGTCAAATTATTGAATTTTGCATGATCTTTGCTACATTTTGCTATAACTTTTTTTTTTGGCTCACCTGTCACAAAGTGACATGGTGAGCTTTTTTGATCGCTTTTCGTCCAGCGTCCATCCGTTAACTTTTACTTTAAATGACATCTTCTCATAAACCACTAAGCCAATTTCATCCAAACTTCACAGGAAAGTTCCTTTGGTAGTCTACTTTAAAAATTGTTCAAAGAAATTAATTCCATGCAGAACTCTGGTTGATGGCAACCGAAAGAAAAAACTTAAAAAATCTTCTTTTAAAAAACTCAAAAAGCTAGAGCTTAAATATTTGGCATGAAACATTGACTAGTCAGTGTCTACCAAGTTTGTTCAAATAAAAGCCCTGTGGTCAAAAGTGGCCCCGCCCCGGTGGTCATTGCTTTTCCTTATTTGTATATAGTAAAAACTTAAAAAATCTTCTTTTTAAAAACTCAAATAGCAAGAGCTTAGATATTAAGCATAAAACATCTTCTAGTGGGTGTCTACCAAGTTTGTTCAAATAAGGGCCCTGGGGTCAAAATTGGTCCCGCCCAGGAGTCATTGTTTTTCCCTATATGTGTATAGTAAAAACTTACAAAAAATATTCTTTTAAAAACCCCAAAGAGCTAGAGCTTAGATATTATCATTTTAGGGCCATCATTGCTCTCTTGTTTATGAATGGAATGTCTTCATTCTTGAGCAAAACTACCTTTAGGACAATATCTTAAGGATCAAACTCATTTTTACCTTGAGTCCTAAATGACCTTGACCTTGAAGGACAAGTTATTGTAATTTGAAGTTTTTTTTGCTTTTTTCTGATACATATTAATATATTACTGTAACATAGTGATATATTCCTGTTACATATTGAAATATTCCTGTTGCATGTTAATAATTTCTGTTACATATTGATGTATTTCTGTTACATATTGATGTATTTCTGTTACAGACAGATATCAGAGATGTCATCAGCCAGAGATAGTTATGATACTGGTCCTGAAGATTTAATGTTTCCTAATGATGGTTCCTTTGATCCAAATAATTACCTAGACCCCTCTGCTGTAGACTGGAATAGTTCATTACTGGACACTTTAAAAGCTGGAGAACCATATAACAGTAATGATGTCGAATCAAAGGTTGAAAAACCCACTAAATATGATTCGGCTCCTTCAATAAACAAGTGTAAAGATGATTTGAGTAAACACAGGAGTGATTCTACTGTTTCTGATTTCTATGACATTGATATTGATAAAGATTTGAAGTGTAATGTTAAAGGATGTGCTTGTGATAAGACAAACAGAAAATCTGCAGAGGATAAAAGAAAGTGCAATACAGAACAAACTGGTGCTAAAGATATAGATTCAGATTCTCCAAATGAACATAATGATAATAACCAGGGAAAGTGCAATGATGAATTAAAAGAGGATAAAACCAGAGTGTTCAATATCGATAGACCTACAGATTTAGCATTAAATACAGAATATATACACGGTGACCATGAAGATATAACACCTGTTATGACCGACAGTACTTCTACACTGTGTGATCAAATTCCTGTGATACAAAAATGTGACAGTGCTAGTATTAAAACTGTTGAAACAGACAACCATACTGTTGATGTTGAGAGTGGGCATGAGGTAACAAAGGACGGTAGTGATGAAATTAAAAGTATATCATCAGAACAAAACACAAAGATTGAAAATGATACAAAATGCTGTGTAATTCAACATAAAGCAGCCCAGTCAGAGATTTCCTCTGATAGTGGTTTAGATATTGATAACATCCTTGAAAAACAAACCAGTCTTGACTTTGGAAGTGTAAGTGATAAAAGTTCAGATATAGAATTTGGGGAGAAAACTGAAGAGTTACTAGGCGACGGTTTCAGTCTTGACCATAATAATCATGGATACACTATTTGTCAAGACAGTGTTCCCCAGAGAACCTCTGTCTGTGAAAATATATCAGCCATGGAGGCAAAGAAAAGAAAGTGGAAATTTATGCATCCATTTAAAAACTTACATGATGGGGAAAACTCTGTAGGTAAGTATGCTTCAAAGAAAATTTATTACATTTTATCTTTCAATTTGTAGTATGCTATACCATATAACATTATATTCTGAATAAAATACTGTTTGTGATTTTAAGCATAATTCATTGAAACCGGGTATATCAATATCATTTCTTTTTACAGGTCATTCCTTACAGAAAGTATTAGTAAATTACAACAATATACAGCACATTGTGTTTAGTTTGTTGTCAGGGAGACCAGTGGTTGTCATGGGAACAAGAAGACAGGAAGTGACAATCAGGGAATTTATTCAGGCAATGTCTATGTTTGTGCCATATACACCTAGGTAATTATTGCTTGTGAAGTTTTAAAATATAAATCAAATATTTACATGAAACTCGGGAAATAAGGTAATTTTTTGTAAACTAATGTAAATGTGTGTACTTTTTTAGGGTTCATTGATCTGTTATTATAGCAAACGTTTATGTGCACCAGTTTTCAAGTTCATTATAACACTGTTGGAACTTAACTTCAATAAATTGTACCCTGCTTAATTTTTATCATGATTTACATGACTAATTTTGCATGCTTTATGTAATATATTACAAAGTTTGTGCAATGGCCTTAAATCAATATACCTCTAATACATTACTTCACTTTAAAGAGTATTTTAATAAGTTAGAATTACTGTCAACTGCATTTAATATTTATAGAAAGAAATGATTAATTTTAATCATATAATTATTTTAGGTATTTTCAAATATTTGCTAAATTCACATGACATGAAATTATAAATGTTTATTAATTTCTTTTTGTCTAGCCTTTTACTCTTGCTATATTGTCATGCTTTCTACTATTTCAGGTCAAGTTCTGTAAGTTTGTTATGCCAGATAAAGCAGTTAAAGATGTCAGATATGCACAAGTTTCAACTTCGAGGGGTCATCAGATCTGATAAACGTTCAATTGACTACTTAATACCCAAGTCAGTCAGGGTATGTGCCTCATACTATATCATCAGTAGCAGTAAATTAAATAAAAACACTACACAATAACTAGCCAATAGCAAACAATACAAGATATATTCATACATTAATAACAAGAACATTGATTAATGATATCAAGTATTGTTAGAACATAGTGCATACTTATAGAGAGAGGCGATATTTTAGTTAATGTTTTTGTCTGTCAAGATTCAAGCCTTACTTTGGTCAAAACCATTTTCTCCATGTAACACCAGAAAAGGGTAGTCCTGAAGGCTGACTTCAGTGTGGTTTGAATGGTTCAGGCTGTTGACTTCAAACCACTTGCCTCTCATTGCTGTAGGTTTAAGCCTCATAAGTGTCTACGGATTCTTTTTATGTGTGAAAGCTATCCAGCTAGATTATGAAACGTCAGTGGTTCTACTTGGGTGCCCGTTTGTTCCTGAAATGACGCACAAAGTGGCACCTGGGGTATTTCTCCAGCAGTTAAGCTAGAAAGTCACCATATGACCTATAATGTGTTGGTGCAACGTAAAATTTAATTTAAAAAAGAAAACAAAATAAAAAAACTGTGGTTTATATAAACCTACACATCTTACCACATTTAGGTCTAAACTAAAACTGTGATTAAGATATAATAAGTACATTTATCATAATCGTCTAACATATCTTGTCTATATTGTAGAGATTCATGACTTTGATTGACCTAGAGAAGAATGTTGTATATTGTCAACCTTACCAAGGCATCTTACTAAACTTTATAACATCAATACATAACAAGAAGAAAACATTTAAGTCTGAGGCTGCCATTTTGACCTTCACACAACTGTAAGTAATAGCAATTATTTTGTTGATTCTGTGAAACAAGCTACATAAAAATGTAATCTTTTGTGGCATTTTCAGATTTTTTTATCATATATCGAAGGGTTTTGAAACAGAGCTACACATTTACAACTAAAAGAATAAATGTTGAAGATTTTTATGTCAACTTAATATGTTTAAGTACATGTATATAGATGAATTATAAATTGTAAGTTAAAAACATAGATAATATAGCAAGGAAGTTTTACTTATACATGTGCATGTATTTCAAAACTATTAGAGGATCAACCATGCTTACAGGTACAATGTAGTCAATAGTTAATATGAAAGTGTTAAGAAAATAGAAAAAAGATTATTTGAATTATTGTTTTATATTTTCAGGTGTTTACAGGAGATCTCAAACAAGGCTTTCAGTTTCTACCATACTGTCACTTCAAGTAATGAGCAAATAGATTTTATGTTAGTATCCTTTTATATCTTCTTTTGTCTATTTGTAACAAAACTAAGTTACTATTTTAGCTAAGCTGAGCACATCATGCTCATGATGAGTTATTGTGACCCGGCTGTGTCTATCAGGTGTAAGACCTTGTGCATCATCAACTTTTGCTTCAAACAACATCTCCTAAACCATTGGGCCAATAGTGTTAAAACAAGGCAGAATTGTTCCTGGCATGAAGTTTTTTTTTCAAATTTTCAAAGAATTCCATTCCATGTAGAACTCTGGTTGGCATACAAAATAAAAAACTTTAAGAATATTTTTTTTTACGAAACCACAAAGACTAGAGCTTTGAAATTTGATATGTAACATTATCTTATGAATCTCTACCAAGTTTTGTCAAATTATAGCCCATGGGTCAAAGTTGGCCCAGACCAGCTGGTCAGGGGTTTTCTTTACATGTATGTAGTAAAACTTGAAAAATTGTCTCCTCTGAAACCACAAAGGCTAGAGCTTAGATATTTGGCATGAAACATTGTCTAGTTTTTACTATATACATTGTACATACATGGGACAGCGTCAATCTTGACCCCAGGGCTATATTGAGGTTAAGTTTTTACTATAGTAAACTTTTACCTCAGTATTTGCATTTATAGCTACAGCCTAAAAATTAAGACTACACCCACAACTGAACTTTGATATCAGTTGATAGTGACAAACATTTTAGCTCACCTAAGCATTACATGTCTTGTACAGACAGAGTTACTCAATCAGTATTTTTTTTCAGTGGTGCATCTTTGCCTCATAAGAATTGCATGCTGGAGTTGACATTGGAGAAATATCTGAACAGAGCTGGTGTTCACAACTCAGATTGTAGGATTGTGAAGGTAAAATATCCCAAGTGAATTTATATATATGAGCCGTGCCATGACAAAACCAACATAATGGGTTTGCGACCAGCATGGATCCAGACCAGCCTGCGCATCCGCGCAGTCTGATCAGGATCCATACTGTTCGCTTACAAACCCTATAGCAAGTAGAGAAACTGATAGCATGGCACGGCTCATATGTATTTGTAATGTTATTGTGAGTTTCAAGTTTTATATTTAGGTATTTAGTATTTATATTCTTCAAATTTTTGCATTTTTTTTATAGAAGTCATTTCATGAATCTTCAAGAAAACATTTTCAGCTCATTTGCTGAAATCTAATTTACAAATTTTAAGGAAATAGTGTATGTTGGTTATAGAATGGAATGGTATTCTGAAGGACCTCGATTTAAGTAATGGTCAGACTACACATTTTTTTCACCATGTGACATATATGGACGAAATAAGTGATTTGACCTGTATTTTTCAGTATCTGACAGAGATTGTAAAACTACAACAAATAGAGGAAGAATTCAGGAGCAAATATTTAACTGGTTTGTGTTATTTCTATTCTTGACTTTTACTGAACTCAGTTATCAACACTGTAGGTTTGGACCTGGCCAGCAAGTTCTATTCTTTCATATGGAGGAAGTTATATCTATATCTTGCTTACAGAAGGTCATTGGTTCTACTCTTGTGTCCACTTGTACCGGAAATGATATATGAAAGGATAGCTGGACCATTAAAGATTATACAATGTAATTAAAGATTGAGCATAAAATATTTATCATGAAAATTAAAACATAAGTTTGTGGCTTGATCTGCACATGTATTGCTGCTTTCTAGTAACCTTACAGGGACAAACTGTGATGTAAATCTTAAAAGAACTTATCATCCTCTGATTTTATCTTCTTTGATGAGTTCTTAAATTAATTTACCAATTAGGCTGAAACCGTTAGTTATTGAATAGATGACATGATGCTTCCTATCATGATCAGTATCTATAGCTCACCATATAAAGTGTAGGTTCTATTTGTTCTACATGTACTTTGTCAGATTTTAAACTAAGAAAAACAATTAAATGGCTACAATAATATGTGTCAAAACATTGTACATTTTATAAATACATGTATATACAAGTGTGTGTATACTTTTTCAACAAATTCAATAATTAAATCAGTGTTAAGTATATTACTATGACTTATACACATATTTTTTCATTCTTTAACACAGATGCTCCAGCATATCCATTTAGTGTTACACACCAGCCAATGCAGACATACAGACTGTGACCATGATTATTGCAGGAAGATAACTTTCCAACCATAAAACATGATGTACCAGTCTATATATATAGGGCTAAATTGATCTCCTGGGAAAATGTAATTGATCAGATCATGTAAAATAGCTTGTTAGACCATATACTGACACATGTGACAAATTGAGCCGCATCATGACAAAACCAACATAATGGGTTTGCGACCAGCATGGATCCAGACCAGCCTGCGCATCCGCACAGTCTGATCAGGATCCATGCTGTTCGCTTAAAAACCCTATTATAAGTAGAGAAACTGATAGCGAACAGCATGGATCCTGATCAGGCTGGTCTGGATCCATGCTGGTCGCAAACCCATTATGTTGGTTTTGTCATGACGTGGCTCAAATTATGCTTTCAACTTGGTGGATATAGTGAACTGTATTGTATAAATATAGAGATTATGAACATCAGTTGTATTTGTAAGAGAATTAGAATATTTTATTTAAACATGTTATCTTATCTGAGCAGTCACATAAACAGATAATGTTTTAATAATCAAGTAAACATAAAAAACTGTTGTTCGCATAATTATGATATGAAATAAGATAACTACAAAAATGTACATATTGATAGAACTGTAGGTTGTATAAAACAAACGTTTCCATTTTTAAGTGTGCCATATGTTTGTTTTTAGTTCACTTGAGCTCCTGATGCTTAAGGTAAACTTTTCTGACCGTCTGATGTGATCATGCCTGTTTTCCGTCCATTAGTCTGTCAACCTATTGTCTGTAGCAGTATCACTGTATGTCTGTCAACTGTCTGTATAAAAACCAGAGTTTCAGCTGTTATTTGAACTGAACAAAAGTTGCGCATACCTTGTAAGACAAGTAGATCCTGGTCTAGTTTTGTTTCAGGCTGTTCCCATAAAAACATTACGGGTTTAATTTTCTCCAAAAAGGGACTAAAAATCCCATTTTTTTACCTTTTGGTTTAATATTATTGTAAAATTTTTTTTATTTGCCCCAAAAAGGGCATATCTTAGTTTCCCTTAATTAAGATGGTTCAGATCAAAATTATTTGGCTTTGGAGTTAATACCCCCGATTCCATCTTGCTTGCTTTATCATTAAAGAATATCTTACATGTAGGGCCTACTAGTTATTGTAAATGAAAACTTTGCAACTTAATTGTAGTTGATGATAGTAAAATAATAACAAACAAACAAGGGGCAGTCTAGAAGGAAACAGCCTTAATCCCCTTTCGGGCAGCAGACATGAATGGTAACTTTCTTAGACGCTTTAACAGAACCATTTAGACCTTGATTGTTTGTGCCAATGTATATTTATATTAGCATATAAGTCTCATGATTGTAATTTTTTTGTGCCAAAGTTTATTTTAAAAATCTTCCATTAAGGGTCAACAAGGTTACTGAAAAAGTATTTAACCTTGACCTTTTGGGAGGGAAGCAATCCGGATGTTGGATTCTACACATCATGTCATAATGGTGACCATTTCTGCCAAGTTATTTTTAAAATGTTTCAGCGGTTTAAAAGTTATGGAGCGGACACTAAATGTAGACTTTTTAACACTTGACCTTAAAATGTGACCTTGACCTTGGGGGTAGCAACCCCATTATTGCACTCTGCATATCGTGTGATTATGGTAATCACTTGTGCTACATTATTTCAAATTTTTTGCAGCGGTTTAAATGTTATGCAGCGGACACAAAATGTAGACTTTTTAATACTTGACCTTTCATTTAACCTTGACCTTGGGGCTAGCAACCCAATTATTGCGCTCTGCACATTGTCTCATAATGGTGATCACTTGTGCCCAGTTATTTCAAAATATTTTCAGTGGTTTAAAAGTTATGGAGTGGACACAAATTGTAGACATTTAATACTTGACCTTTCAGTGTGACCTTGACCTTTGGGATAGCAACCAAATTATTGCGCTCTGCACATCATCTCATAATGGTCATCATTTGTACCAAGTTTATTTTTAAAACAAGATTGCATTTGTAAAAAATGCTATGCCACCGCATAAATACAACACTAAAATAGTAATGTAGGAACAAATTTTTTTTGTTTTGACCCAAGGGCTTAATTTGAAAATCTTGCACTAAAGGTTATTCAACTACACAAATGTTTACCCCTGCAAAATGTCTCACCTTCTAATCCAATATATGTCAATTTCGAGAATTGGTGACCCTTCCTCTTTTAAAGGTTTTTACTATAGTACATGTCAAGAAAACCTATGACCCTAGGGGCAGGGCTAGTTGGTGACACTAGATGGCAAAATTGGTGAAACCCCAACTTTGGTAAGGGAGTACACGTATAGATTGATATCATATATCCGAAATGATCAAAAGCTCTAAGGTCCTTGTACCTTCAGAACAATTTAAGATTTTTTAAATTTTTTACTAATATGGTACATAGTGAAAATCAATGACCCCCCGGGTGGGGCCAATTTTGACCCAGGGCTTTGGCGACCTATAAACAAATTTGTTCAAATCTTGACTAGAGGTTCACTTAACACAATGTTTCATGCAAAAAGATATTCTCGTAACCTCTAAGCCTTTAAGTTCAGATTTTTAGAGAAGATGATTTTTAAGAGTTTTTTAACTATATACATTTATGAGTGAATAAACCTATGACACCCCCGGCGGGGCAGGGCTAATTTTTGACACTAGAGGCAAAAATTTGAACAACTTTGGTAGAGTACCTATAGATAATAACACATACCAAATATCAAACCTCTAAGCCTGGTTGACCTTCAACAAGAAGGTATTTTAAGGTTTTTACTATATCATGTACAATATGGTGAAAATGCAATGAGACCCCTGGGGCGGGGCTAATTTTGGACCCAGGGCTATAATTTGAACAATCTTGGTAGGAGGTCTTACCAGACAATGCTTATGCAAAATATCTGAAGCTCTAGGCCTTTTGGGTCTTTACAAGAAGATTTTTTAATTTATTCTTTATAATTCCGTTTTGGTTTGCTATGGCAAACCAGAATTCTGCAATGGAAAATGAAATTCTTTGAACAACTTTGGTAAGGCCTTCACCCAAGGACAATCCTGCCAAGTTTGGTTGACAATTGGACAATGTGGTTTTTCACAAGAAAGATTTTTTTTAAGTTCACCTATATAATACTATATAACACACACACACCACACGTTATTTCACACAAACAAACACACACACACACACAGGTGAATCGCTATATGCCACCGCATCGCAGATGCTGCGGTGGCATAAAAAATTCAAAAGTTATGGAGTGGACACAAAAGTGTTACAGATGGACGTACAGAAGGACGTACAGAAGGACAGACGGAGGCCTTCCTATAATCCCCTGTCCTCTATGCGGAAGGGGATTAATAACAGAGCTTTTTTTGAGATAATCCCATTTAATTTAGTTCAAAACCATTGAATAAATAATTGCAAGAAATATCAAATTGTAGATTATGCAAGATACCTAGGTGTTCATATTTGCCACCATAGTAACTATAAATTGATTTAATTAGACAGAATATGTACAGTTAAATAATGTATACAATATTATCATTATTGTCCTGTGATATAATTCAAATGATGAGGGTATTTATCCTTTAAAATCTTTTTCCCATTTACATGTTACAATATTTAAACAATGGGTCAGGCTAAAACTATGATAAATGACAATAATAAAAAAAAAAAAATTTCTTTTCATAATAGAAATGCTCAATTTTTGTTGGGGTGAGGGGTTTATACCTACATGACCCCTTTTGTTTAAAAAAGGTCAGTAGGTCAAAGGTTTTTGGGACCTTGTCACAAAAAAAGCTTATCAAATCATTGACAAAAAAAAATGTTTTGATACATTTTCAGATTTTGTCGCCTGCAAAGTTGTAGGTCAAGGTAAAATCAAAAATAAAAACGTTTTTGTGAATTTTTAAAAAATACTTTTTTAAATTTTTTATTTTTTTTATTTGGTAAAAAAAAAATTTAATTTGCAATTATCTCTACTGTCTTGTTTTTTAAATATATTTTTTATTCAGCTAAATATCATTACAGTTAAAGAATTGTTAGAGATAAAAATAAAAAGAAATAATTCAAGTACCAAGTCTGTAAAAACAAAATAAAAGTCATTTAAAACACTTTTATTTTTTTTCCCAATTTTATAAACTTACTTAACTACAATACTATATGATGTTCTTTTTTTCATCACCCTTTAAAAATTTTAAAATTTGTCATTTTTGTTTTCATCAAAACAAAAAGAGTTGACACTCTTTTAAAAAATTTTGGGAATCTTACTTTTGTTATGGAAAATTCAATGGCCAAAATTTCATGACTGACATCAAAGGACAAGGCATTGTTACTTTTTAAAAGGCAGTGATATCAAGGGGTTTCAATTTACATTAAATTTACTGGAAACTTTGGGTTTAATTCATAGTTTAAAAATCAAAAAAAGAAAGTAGTTTCATTTGTAAAAATCTGGGTCAGCTGATTTTTAAAATCAAACTGTGCACATGGTCCAAATTTTGGCTGTACATAAAGAAAAGGGAAGTTTGGGTCACTGGGGAAAATTTTTGGAAAAGGGGTTTAATTCAAACAATTTTTTCAATATCCATGTGAATAACTAAGCTCTGCTTTCTCTTATCTAAAAAACATTTTTTAGTTTCTTTTTTACTATATTACATAATGAAAATCAATAACCCCAGGATAGACCCAATTTTTGACCAAAACTATAATTAAGCAATCTTGGTAGAGGTCCACTACACAATGTTTCATGCAAATATCTAACCCTACCTTTTCATTTCAGAGAAGAAGATTTTGAAGTTTTACTAAAAAGGAACCCCTTTTTTGACCTGAGGAAAAATTTAAAAACAACTTTTGAGGGCCCATTTTTATATGATATACCAAAGTTAAATTTCTTACCTTTGTAACCTTCAGACTTTAGGAATGTTTAAGTTTTTACTATATGTACATAATAAAAAATCAAGCCCCCCGGGGCGGGGGCCAATTTTGACCCCAGGCATAATTGAACAATTTGGGTAGAGATCCCATGAAAAATATCAAATAAAACCCTTTTGTCAATTAAATTTAAAGGAAATGTTTTTTTTAAGTTTTTATAAACATAAAAGGAAACATTGGCCCCGAGGGGGCCAAATTTGGGACACTAGGCAAAAAATTTTGAACATCTTTGGTTGTTAAACCTAAAAAGAATCAAATACCAATATAAATTTAAAAGCTTAACCCTTTTGTCCCCTTCAGACAAAAATTTTTTTTAATTTTTTTACAATAATTACATACTGAAAAATCAATGACCCCTGGGCGGGTTATTTTTCCCCCGGGGTATAATTTGAAAACCCTTTGGGTAGAGGTCTACCAGACAAGTCTAATGAAAAAATTCTTGTCTAATCTTGGGGGTCTTTACAAAAAATTTTTTTTGATTATTCCCAAAATTCCTTTTGGGTTGCTAGGGAAACCCAAAAATTTCTGCATGAACAAAATTCTTTGAAAAAACCGAGAACCCTTCACCTAAATCCCCCAAATTTGGTTGAAATTGGGTTTGGGTTTTTCACAAGTGTTTTTTTAAGTTCACACCAAATCATATATTGCCACCCATCGAAAATGTGCAGTGGATGAAAAAAATCCTTCATTGTTTCTTTCATTTGAATTTGAAAAAAATTGTTTTATTGTTGAATTTTTTTTAAGGGGTTATGTGCTAAAAAATTTCATGTAATTTAAAATTTTGTTGGTTCTTGTCATCCGGCATATTTGTAGGCCCCGTGTCCCTTGAAGTTTTTGCTATTCCCAGCCCCAACACTCGAAACTGTTAAAAAAATCCCCAAAAAAAAATTTCCTGCGTTTTATTAGTTTTAAATTTACTCGACATATAAACAATTTCTAAAAAATTTCCCCAGGAAATGTACCCCGTAGG